AGTCCTGCTTGGAAGCGGAAGGAATTTTTCCAGCCGTGCTGCGACCCACAGTTAATTGGGAACTCGTGGCCTGGCACGAGGGTAACATGGATGCAGCTAATGGGATTTCGGTCTTTGACCACTTGGTGGTGGGTCTGATCTACTCACCTCCCACCGTTTAGGAGCTGCATCTGCGCCTTGATCCTAGAGGGTGGTGGCGTTCCCACGGCGGATGCGGAAAACTCGGCTTCCAGCCGAGTCTCACGCGAACCGTGAAATTTAAATTTAAATTTATTATTCATAATCGCACGCCACAATAATTATGATTTCTGTATTTTGTTGAAGGCTCTGCATACCCGGTACCCATGCCATGCCATGGCCATGGGCCGGGACAGTGTCAGTGGAGATTGATGACGTACACACATGTACAAAATGTCATGTAACTGTTACGTGTGGGGTCTTATTTTACAATGTAGGTGCCCTTGCAGGTATGTCGAATCGCGGCTAGGAGAATAATGAGAATTGATGGCCCATATTCAATGGGCTGGGTAGTCACATCATGATGATGGACTCATATCGACTCACTACTGCCAGTGCTGGTAGTGCATCGACAATAGTCTCCAGTCTGTGAGTATGCAACTGGACTGAGGGATTATTATGCATCGTTGGTTGTCATTGACCATTCCCTCTACGTCTTGCACGAACGACGCACCAGACGTCGTAAACGTTGATGGTGGATTACGACCGTCGCTATTTTCAGGTGTTCTAGTGCCCGGGACAAAATGCAGGTACATGCACATGACTGTTCAACTGTAGGGTAGATCTGTGACAAAGTAACTAAGCTGCTGACTCAGTGACTGTATATGTCTACTTCGTAGATCTACTTTGTAGTAATTCTGCTGATCACTGGAACCTACATGTGGTCCAACTTCCATTTACACACAGACAGTAGACTCAATATCAGACCTCTCCGATGATAGCGAACTAACTATGCTAGCCTACAGAGACAGTCACTGTGACTTCTGATGAAACACATACACGCATATACACACGCACACGTACACGTACACACACACACACACACACACACACACACACGTATACACAAAAAAAACAGCGCTGATCAGCTGACCTGACCCGGAGACTCAGCCAAAGAGATTCGTAGCGGAAGTGCTTCAGGAATGCAAGCGATCGTCAATGTCACTGCGAGAAGGAAGTGCTCGTCCCCGCGAATAGATCAGGGTCAGCTGCTTACAAGTCCTTTCCAGCTCTGTTTTAGGAAAGTTGTCCAGCACAGGCGAGTATTTTAGGATCAACACTAGCTATGCTTAGCACATTGTACATGTACATGTATAGGGAATCACATAATTCAGCGCTTACCAAGTTACCAAGCCTGGCTGTCTTACACAAACTATAATAGGGCACCTTTCGGGTAAACGGAGGAATGAAGAAACGAAGAACGTGCGTGACAGGCCACAATGCTTGTACGTACATGTACGTAACTATCACGATGCTGTCAATGACTATGTACATTGTACTTGTAGTCCGTATCATTACGTGAGTTCTCTGTGAATCATAGCGGCACCAACACAATCATGGACAGTTGGTGTCAATAGTATAGGAGCATATTTTACCCTTGCTAGTACACAGACCAACATGGCACAAGGACTTACTACATACTCTTGTCTACTAGTAGATAGTATGCATGGTAGGTCTACCGAGAGTGTTATTTAAAATTATTAACTTTGGAATGGGTTTGCTCCCCACACTGGAGCTCGCGCTATTCCGCCGACTTGACTTGACACTTGACTGACTCACGGCTGCCATCCAGAGCACACGAGAAGTCCATCGAACCTTCGACTCAGCAAACCTGCAAGAAAGCACCACTCCCTGCTCAATACACAGTGTTTCGGGGAGTTCACCCCAAGAGTGTTAACCATAAATGGCATAATGTGTTTGACCAAGAGTCAGTCCCCTGTCAGGCTGTGAGCAGTCACAGGCCCTGTAACCAGTCCGTGATTAGTTATGGGCTGGATGTGACTGACCACCACGTCCTACATGTTACTCGCACTTTGTGTGCCAATTGGTCATGGACCACGAGTTGAGTGAAATAAATAAATAACTCCTCAGGGCCCTATGGTAGGAGGATCAGGGACGTCACATATACCGACATGCGTAGGGCTCTCTGGTTTGTGCGACTCCCTGATCCGGACTCTTGATGGTGGATCGAGGGCTGCAGGTAGATCTGTATTACTAGACTAGTGAGCCACATGTACATGTACAGTCGACCTACCCTTATAACGATAACCCTATAATACCCTTATAACGATAACTGGCCTGGCGCAAATATCGTTATACAGGTACATGTAGGTCGACTACACAGTGAAACCTGTCTAAGACGACTGCTCAAGGGACTTTCACGGTGTGGTCTCTGTAACCAGGTGGTCTCCTTATCCAGTGCCATTCGACTGGAAATAGCATCCCTTGGTCCTGGCTGCAGTGGTCTTCTGGCCAGGTGGTCACCTTATCCGAGTGGTCACCTTATCCGAGTGGTCGCCTTGACAGGTTATACCGGTACTCTACTTGATGCACAGTCATGTGCTTGTTGTAGTCTACGATGTGCGTTCTTGCTGTATTCTGCGGTGCAGTGGGCGCCTGTGTGCAGTAGGCAGTCGTGTTGATCAGCAATAAGCAGATAGTCCAGTGCATGCCAGTACAGCTACAATTATTGTACATTCCTAAATTGCACAACGCATGTACTAGCATTATGTACAATGAAATCCGATCGAGCGAGGGAATATGCCAGCCCGAGCGCTATGCAGCCCTAGACTTGCGTACAGTATGGAACACTGAAATGCCAGGAGTGGTGCGCAGAGGTTACAGTCTTAGCCCAGTATGCTGTCGTCACCATGGTCACCCAGCCCCAAGCAGCGTCTTATTTCACAGCATTAGACAGAGCCTGCGGCACAAACGGTCCGACACCGCGCAGTTGCTTGCACCCTTGGAGGACACCATCCGCACCAAGCTCATTCCTGTCATCACCAACCAACCCCAGGGATGGCATCCCGCACAAGACCTGAAAGCCAAAGGCAGAGGCTTCATCCCAAGCCCGCTGGGCAAGCATGGACCATGCCAAAGCCATCAAGGATAGCCCCCCCCCCCCCCCCCCTCCGCGGCTTCAGATACTAGAACTGGCTTCAGAGAAGGGAGCCTCTACAAAGACCACATTTATAGTGGGCTTACCACCTGCCGCCCTCTCCGCCACCGTCTTCGGTTTCGGCCTCCACAAACAAGCTTTCCGCCATGCACTTTACTTGCGCTATGGCTGGATCCCATCTACTGTATATCAGGACTGCCCTCAACCTGCGTATGCGACGCTTCCTGCACAGCAGAGCACGCTTTGTCCTGTCCCATTGGTGGCTACCCCTCCATGCGTCACAATGACCTTCGTTATTTGACTGCATCCCTCCTCAGAGACGTGGCCCAGCGCCATGATCTGAGCACCGAACCTTCCCTGCAAGTGCAACCCGGGCCTTCACCGGTGAGACCCCGCATCTTCGCATATCAATCTCAGCTGACGGCACAGCGCTCGCCTGGCCGTGGCAGGTTCCTGGTGCAGTGGGGGGAGTTTTGGGAAGACGCTCCTCGACATCCGCGTCTATCCCGCATGCCCACTCCAGTCGCCAGCAGTCACTTCCTGCAACACACATGCACATGATGTAACCAGGGAGGTGTATGCTACAATCCGTAACATACGAAGCCGATAAGAAACGCTCCTATGGCTATGAGGAATGAATCCGAGTCTGAAATGGATCACGCACCCTGATCCCTGTATAATGTAGTGCAGGCCTGTTGTGTTGAGTGCATCTGGAGGGTGCGGGAAAGCGGCTTCTGCCCTTTTTAAAAGTTTACAACAGAGTTGCCTCTATGCTCTTGAGCAAGACACATTGGAAGCCCTGTTCCACTGTACTACTAGCCTGGATTACAAGGTACATGTAGGTCAATGGCCAGTCTCTTTTTCTCTTGTCTGCTCAGCAAATTTAAACCATGCCAAATGCTAGCTTCCATGGTCATTCTTGCCAGTGCAGTATGGTTGATCACAGGGGGAGTAGGTATTTTACTGATCCCTGGTTCCATGGTGCTCCCCATCAGGGAGTAGTACACTACGGTATTGTACTACTCCCTGCTCCCCGTGAACCAAGAAATAGGTATTTTATTAGAGTAGAACCCGGGTTAAGGGTCCACCTAACTCTGCGCGGACATAGCTGGACTCAGTTGTACAGGGATGGGCAAAAAGGTGTGCAAAACGACTTCTTGTGAGTAGCTGGGCCTCGGAAAAATAGTTTGGAGCGAAAAAAGTTACGGCTTCCTCGGAAACCGATTGGGGACCCCCTTGCGCCGGAAATTAAATCCCGGTATAAGGATCACCCGCACAATGTACGTGCCAAGTGACCCCCCCCCCCCCCCCGGGCTCCGAAGGATCACCCGCACCATGTACATGTAGGTACCAAGTGACCCCCCCCCCCCCCGGGCTCCGATCCCTAATCCGGTGTTACCCTTAACCCGGGTTCTACTCTACTCTCTGCTATGAACCCTACCAAGAGTTCATAACCATGATAACCCCTGGGGGTTATGAACTCTTGACCCTATTGTGTGGAGTGATCATCATAGGTATGGTGGAAGACGTGTCTCGCCCAGCCAGGGCCAGGGCAGCTCTGTTTTCCTGCAATGCCCAAAGGACTTGATCCGCAACCTGCATGCCGAGAAAATGGCCAAGCAGGTCCTACTGTGCAGCGTGGCTTTGCAGGATTATACGCCAATACAATCAAAGTCTCAGTTTCCAGGCGAGACCTTGTGAAGCAACGGACCCTCTGGCGAGAGTTTACAGTACGTGTACCACATGCACACACATGCACACGTACACACACATGTACACACACATGTACACACATGTGCACACACATGTACACACACACACGCGCGCGCGCGCCTACACCGCATTGGCCCATTGACCACAGTGACAAGGTACTAGTATCGACAAGAGTACATAACCCATGGGGGTTCTGTACGCTTGGTATCGATACTGTGCTAATTTCTCGTGGAAACCGTTCGAAATTACGGCCACAATGGCAGCATACTGTTAGCTGAAGATGAGGAAGATAAAAGAATTGATAGTGAATGCTAACACAGACATGACATGCCTAAACAGGACTGGACTTCTTGACATACATGTTTTCAGAGCTAGAATTAGCAGTAACACCTAACAGTAGACTAGACACCAGTACTGTGCCATTAGCAGAGCATGATGTGCTCTGACAAAAAAAACATGGCAGCGAATGTGCAGTCTACTGCAACTATTAAAGCGTGAAATTCGTAAATAGTATTGAAAAGAATAAGCGGCGAGGGCACTTCAGCACAGATGTGCAGTTAGCGGGTCGCCTGGCTAAAAATACGGTGACATGACTACCTCCAACCAGAAATAGAGCTGGCCAAAAGGGCTATGGACGAGGCACTAGGTGTCCCCGGGAAAATACGCGTAGATGAGCATCAGTCAGCGAATGTTCATCTGGAAATTCGTGCAGGCAACAGGGCAGTGGATCAAATCAATTACGACTGTGCATTGATGATGGTGATGAAATCTGGCTTCAGGGAAGCTCCACCAACAAGAAAGCCGTCGATGTCTTCCTGCTTGGCAAGGTCCCTGCAGTTATTGGCATTGACGGAGCCTGCACAGAAGAGAGAGAGAGAGAGAGAGAGAGAGAGAGAGAGAGAGAGAGAGAGAGAGAGAGAGAGAGAGAGAGAGAGGGAGGGAGGGAGAGAGAGAGAGAGAGAGAGAGAGAGAGAGAGAGAGAGACGGGCTCATAAATAACAAATAAACAGAAACCGATTCGAAAGTCGATATACTTTAGATATTGATACATTGCGATACCATGCATGAGTAGCACAAGTTATACAAACACACACGCATACACACCCACCCACCCACACCCACCCACACCCGCCCACACCCAGACACACGGAATAGGTGTCACGTAAGATGATGTCTCTCTTTCCATCTCCTTCTCTCTCATTTCACATCTTTTCGTATTAAATCCCGCTCCAACTCACCTCCATAAATGATGCGGGTCACTGAGGCAAGCTCTGCGGATAGTTGTGCAGCCATCCACTCACGCAGCTGGTGATGGACCTCCTGTGCCTGTTCACGTCCATACACCATAGATACACCATAGATACAACAGCAGCAGCAGAAGCAGCAGCAGAAGCAATGTTACATAATTATGCACTTCAAAGTATCAGATTTGTAGTCACATTTTTTTTGTTGAGAATTATATTGGTATAGAGGTTAGTACCGATACCGTAATGTCGCGTGCATAAGCCGGATTTGTGCATAAGCCTGTCTCGTGTAGAAGCATGAAATCTGCAACAGCTTTTCGCGTACAAGCCTGTCGCATGCATAAGCCGGGCCAGTACACGAGACGCGCCACGTGTCGCGTGCGTAAGCCGGGCTACTACGCAAGACTGGTGAGCGCGCCTTTTACATGTTCATGTTTGCATGGTACCGTACACTTGCACACGCGGAAAACGTGGGAAGATGCGGAAATCAACACCAGCTGCGCTCGACGGCCATGCAGCACTCTTCAAGCTTCAAACTTACCTTTCCCATGGCATTTTCCGTCTTGTCCCTTGGCAAGTTGCTTGTTTGAAGTTGTTTCGGCGCTCCTCGAACTTTTCACTTGTGTTTGTTGCAGTCTACCCGTAGATAGAACTCATCTCAACCAAGTCTGCTTGTCGAAATGCCGAAAACAAAAGGACTTCGGAAAAAATACTCAGCGACATTCAAGCTGGCGGTAGTGAAAGCTGCAAAATCGACTTCTGTCACTGCTGCTTCTAGAAAGCACAGCATTGACGAGAGTATGGTGCGGCGATGGAAACGGCAAGAAAACCAGCTTCTTGTGGCGGAGAGGTCCAAAACCAGCCGTGGTGAGCAGCGATCCCGGACATCTGGTGGGAAGCGGAGCCAGTTCACGGATTTGGAAGCTAATTTGTTCGAGTGGCTTGTTGGGGAACGTCAGCAGAGACGACGAGTGAGCAGGAAGTCTGTCCGTGCAAAGGCTAAACAGCTCCATGCCGAGATGGGAAACGCCGAGGAGTTCAACGCCAGTGCTGGTTGGTGTGCCAACTTCTTTATGCGTTTTCGTCTGACGATGAGAATGAAGACCCATCAAAGCCAACGATCTCCGGAAGACTTGATTCCCAAACTGACGGATTTTCTGATGTATCTGAGGAAGTATTTCGCGGAACATCCGACCATGACGAAGGCCAACATCTTCGCTATGGATGAAACTGCTGTGTGGTTCGATTCCACCAGCAGTCGGACAGTGGAAGTGGTAGGAGCACAATCTGTTCCATTGGCATCAACAGGCCACGACAAGGCCAATGTAACCGTTGCTCTGTGTGCTTCAGCTGACGGGAAGAAGCTCCTACCCTACATCATCTTCAAGGGAAAGGGCAAGACGGCCGAGGACAAGGAGCTGAAAGCCAGACGCGACATTGTCGTGAGTTACTCCGACAATGGGTGGTTCAACTCTGACTTGACGACGGACTGGCTCAAGAAGGTGATGGGTACCTTTGCGTTTGGGAAGAGGCTCCTCATATGGGACTCTTACCGCTGCCATGTGTGTGATGCTGTGAAGGCCACCCGCCGCGAGCAGAACATCGACTGTGCCGTTATTCCAGGAGGGTGCACTGGCCTCATCCAAGCACCGGATGTCAGCTGGAATAAGCCATTCAAGACTTCTATCCGGGAGCAGTATGACGAGTGGATGGCAACCGGAGAGAAGTCATACACTGCTGCTGGTAACATGCGTGCCATGTCAAAGTCGAAGCTGTGTGACGTTGTGGTGAAGGCTTGGCAAGGCCTTTCCCCTGACCTTATCTCCAAGTCGTTCGAGTGCTGTGGTCAGGTGCCTGGAGCCACGGCGGAGAATGTGTCATGCTTCAAGGACGGCCGTCCAGCTGCCAGCGGACGAGAACAACTGGCTGAACGGTTCGCCTTGCCGACAGCCGAACTCCGTGTTGACAATGCTGGCAGTGATGAGGTGGTGGATGAGCTTGATCATGACGCTGTAGTCCTTGGTGACGATGGCAAGGTCAATGGAAGTGGTGATGACAGTCGCAGCGACAGCAGTGACAGTGCCTCTGAGGAAGAAGGACAGTGATGTTTCATACTGAACTGCTTTCTTTCTTGATCTTGCTAATCAAGTCAGTGTTACACAATTGTTTTGTTTCTGCACACTTCTACTGAACTGCAATTGCAAAACAATATCACCTACCGGTACCTTCTGGGTACCGGTACCCGTAGTATCTTTGATAGCTGTGTCGATAGCTGACACTTGTCTCACTCTGTGCGTGCACATCCTGTTGCTTGCCTCTCATTCTCACGGCACCATGTACGAGCATGTTCTTTATCATCGTACTCCACACCTCATGACCTGAAAAGGAGTTGAACTCTACTGTGAAGCTGCTGGTGTTTGATGAGTTGGCTTGTTCGTTTGTGTGTGTGTGTGTGTGTGTGTGTGTGTGTGTGTGTGTGTGTGTGTGTGTGAGCGATTTCCAATCGATAGGTTGCGGGTTCGATTCCCGACGATTATGGTCACACACGTCTTTCTTCTCTTTCTAAGACTCTTCCTGACTTTTCTTTCATTCTCCTGGGTGGTTACCAACAGCCAGTGCATGCCGGAGTATGTGGTGTGATGTGTGTGCGGGGAAAAAAAAGAAAAAAGACCAAAAATAGGGATTCACTGGCCAGAAAAAGTCACTTCAAATAGCTGTATGGTGTAGACCAGGCTGAATAGTGACGGTCAATTCTTCAGCCTTGCAAGCTGTTGAATGGTGCAATCCCAGCACAAGTTGCTATGGCATCTGCCGTAGCATTGCTATCATCGCCTCCGGCGATGGGCGTCAAAGGTCAAAGGTGTGTGTGTGTGTGTGTGTGTGTGTGTGTGTGTGAGAGAGAGAGAGAGAGAGAGAGAGAGAGAGAGAGAGAGAGAGAAAGGAGAGGGGGGACGCGGTTCAGGGAGCGAAAAAAAAGAAAAAAAATCCCGTTGGAAAATGTTGGTTTTGACGTCCAAAAGTCAGCAGTTTGCGCATACAAGCCTGGTCATTGAGTGGTGCTTGTCATATAAGCCTGTCTCGTGTATAAGCCTGTCTTGTGTACAAGCCTGACTCCATCACCGGCTTATAGGCATATAAGCCCCGGCTAATGCACGCGACATTACGGTAACTGTCTTTTCTCTATACCTGGTACAGTGAGTGCAGTGCGGTGCAGTCTGAGTGCAGTGTATGGGACGTACCTGGTACACAGTGCAGTGTGTGTGTGTGGTGTAGTGAGTGCAGTGTGTGTGTGTGCGAGTGCAGTGTGTGTGTGTGTGAGTGTGTGTGTGTGTGTGTGTGTGTGTGTGTGTGTGTGTGTGTGTGTGTGTCCCATATGGTGCAGTGGTATATGCAGTCGATTTCCAATCGAGAGGTTGCGGGTTCAATTCCCGACGATTATGGTCGCACACGTCTTTCTTCTCTTTCTCGGTCTCTTCCTGACTTTTCTTTCATTCTCCTGGGTGGTTACCAACAGCCAGTGTATGCCGGAGTATGTGGTGTGGTGTGTGTGTGTAGAAAAAAAAAGAAAAAAGAAAAAAATGGAAAAATGAAAAATAGGGATTCACTGGCCAGAAAAAGTCACTTCAATCAGCTGCGTGGTGGATACCAGGCTAAAAATCGTGGCGGTCAATTCATCAGCCTTGCAAGCTGTTGAATGGTGTAATCCCAGCACAAGTTGCTATGTCTAACATAGCTGTTCGCTATCATCGCTTCCGCGATGGGCAGGTCTGAGGTCTGTGTGTGTGTGTGTGTGTGTGTGTGTGTGTGTGTGCGTGCGTGCGTGCGTGGGTGTGTGTGTGTGTGTAGGGATTCACTGGCCAGAAAAAGTCACTTTAAATAGCTGTATGGTGTAGACCAGGCTGAATAGTGACGGTCAATTCTTCAGCCTTGCAAGCTGTTGAATGGTGCAATCCCAGCACAAGTTGCTATGGCTTCTGCCGTAGCATTGCTATCATCGCCTCCGGCGATGGGCGTCAAAGGTGTGTGTGTGTGTGTGTGTGTGTGTGTGTGCAGTACAGTGTGTGCGGTGTAGTAAGTGCAGTGTGCCATGTACATGTATGGGACGTAGTGAGTGCAATGCAGTGCAGTGTACATGTATGGGACTGAGTGCAGTGCAGTGCAGTGGACAGGCATGGGACGGGACGTACCTGTTCGGGTGTAGCAGTCTTGCCAGTGCCTATAGCCCAGACAGGCTCATATGCAACAACAACATTCTGCCATGCGGCCAGGCTGATGGCATCTAGGCAAAGTGACAAGGACATCAGAAAACACACATCATACATCATGCACCATACAACAATCACTTCGTTGATCTGCAAACTGGAAGGGACTGGCCGAGATTGTTTTGGTCGCAAACAGCAGTACAATAATGAAACACTTCCAGCGCACCCCATGTCCTCATTTCCATGGCAACGCATCAGCTATTCACGTTTCCATGGCAATGCATCCGCTATCCTCATTTCCATGGCGATGCATCAGCTCTTGTAGCAAGAAGGAGTCACAGGTGTGTGTGTGTGTGTGTGTGTGTGTGTGTGTGCGTGTGCGTGAGCGTGTGTGTGTGTGTGTGTGTGTGATCCCCGGTAGTCTACTACTATGTAGGGCACTGTAGTGGAAAGACAGGGGTGCTGGGTTCGAATCTCTTCTTTTGCAACACTCACTTCCAAGGCAATGCATCAGCTATCCTCATAACCACTGCAATGCACATACACTTTGCTTTGCCTTGGATGGTCTAGTACAGTACATTGCCGGATGCTATTTTTCCAAGCAGGCCTTTTCACATTATTCCGAGCACCATCACAATATTGGGCAAACCTGCCCGTTTGGTTTTGAATGTGAAATAAAACCAACGACAACAACGACACCAACACCAAAAACAACACCAACAGCACCAACAACAACACATTCCGGTGGATGGGATGATGTATAGGTTCCAAAGGACTGGAAGTGGATGATGTGTATGTCATATCACATCACTTCACAGGCAGAAACAGCATACTTCATGGAAATCTGCTCAAGGCAGTCCAAAGCAACTAAAGATCCACAGCAAAGCCAGGCTTACTGCGAACTTCCTCCATCTGCCTGATGACCACCTCGCTGGTGAGGCCAGCCTCACGCTGCTCCAGCAGCTCACCAATGCAGAACATCACCTTAAGGCCGGACTCCAGAGCAAACTTTACCTTCTGGGCGATGAGCTGCAACGTAGTGACAAAGTCAAGAAACAGACAGCTGGGTGAAATGAGATTGCTGTTCCAAGCGAATGAAGGGTAATACCAAGAGTACATAACCCCCCCAGAGTGTGCAACGCCGATCCAGCTCTGTGTAGGGTCTTGGTCGAGCGGAATCGGATCTTCTGATGTCATGCGTACACTTCACACCAGCGCAAGGCCGGTCTCGAGGCAGGGCACCATTGTTTTTGATCCAAGAGTACCCGCGACTCCCCGGGTTCCCCTCAGATGTGTACGGTATTATGACGCAAAGATCCGATTCCGCTCGACCAAGACCCTATGCAGAGCTGGATCAGGTGTTGCACACTCTGGGGGGTTATGTACTCTTGGTAATACGAAGAGTGTACACCAGAAAGGATACATTATACCACTGAATCAGATAGGAATGTTGCAATGAACAAACATTGCTGTTGGTGAAGAGACATTCTTTTTCGAACTAAAGAGCAATGAAGTTTACAGCAGCTTGGATGGTGAGAAGCGGAAAGACTTCACAATGACAGGCTGTCACATGAGCACAGGTTGGACGGCCACTCTAGGAGATGCAAGGCATGGTAGCTAAGCTCTATGAAGTGGAGCATGCCTGAAATGCAATGGAAGGTTTGTAGATGTTGTCAAATTCAAAAATGTCAGATTAAGTTCGAAAGGCCACTACTCAGTACTCGCTGAAGAAAAGTTCGTCTTGGCAGTTTCGGCTGTTTGGGACTCGATTTTCAAATCATTTTGGCCAAGTTCGTCATTCCCTCGTGTTCATCGTACCCGCATCGAAATGTATGTAAGATAGGCGGTTGGCGCGTGGGACGGAAGATAGCTAACTGCAGACAATTTGGAAACCATTGAAGAATGATTGAACACAATGTTTCCTTCGCTAGACTACACAGGCAAGATAAGTACAATGTACTTCAATAGGGCTTGACTTACCGCATCGCTTTCGCCAAAGACATTGCGCCGCTCCGAATGGCCAATGATTGCCCATTGCGCACCGACATCCAATGCCATCTGAGGACTGAAACACACACACACACACACACACACACACACACACACACACACACACACACACACACACGTCCACATAACACCACACACACGTCCACACAGATACATAGCATGTTTTCACAGCTGCAAAGTCTTTCCCATGACACTGACCCAATCAACCGACGCTAATCATGACACGTCCTGCATGCAGACATGCTAGCATGATATTGTGGTATCGCACACTTGTTGCACACTTGCTGTTATCGCACACCTAGATAGCCTCTCGAAGTTACCCCCCCCCCCCCCAGCCGCCCAGATAACTGAAGTACGAGTGCACTATGCTAGATTTACCTAATTTCGCCGGTGAATGCTCCCTTAGCTGCTGCATGGCAGGTTTGCACAGACACTGCGATCTCTGGGCGTAGGGACTGCTGAACCAAGCCAACGTAGAGCATTGGCGGTGCGACGACGACTTCTGCGAAAGTGACACAGGGCAAGTAAACATGACAGCAGTGAAGAATTAGTCACTGTGTTCGGAGATGTACAGGATTACCAGTATATGGCTGCATGCAAGCAAGCAAAGCCTCCGTTCTCTAACTACTGTGTAAGTACAAATTTTCGTTCACGAAATCTTTCGTTAGATCACTCCACCAGTAAGTAGGCTTGTTACGTACTAAATTTCGTTTTTCGTCGAGGTCTGTCACCCCTAACTTTCAGAAAAAAACTTAGTTTGGTACAAACTTTAGTTATTTCGCGCCCCCTAACGAATATACGGAAAGTTAATTCCGAAACGAAAATTTGTACTTATACAGTATGTGTGCAGTGCTGCTCAACAAAATGATCAAAATCCAGGCGAGTCAACTACAGTGCTGGGTGCTACTGTATGTATCCCCAGGCCTGAAAGTACAGTGTGCTGGGCTGCGTATTCGTAGCACCTCAGTCGAGTGCACCGAATGGTGTGTGCGTGGTACCAGTGCTGTGTAGTGCCCGTTTTACAGTACCGTAGAATCCCGCGGATAAGCTCCCGGGCTTATTTGTTTCACAAGGACATTTCGGTGGGCTTATACGCGGGCACGGGCTTATACGCCGACACCAAAATTGTGCTATCGAAAAGTACCAAGGAAATGAGAAGTACATTGCTGAAAACCACGATGCAAACAAAAAACAACCGATGATTGTGTACCATGTACATGTAGTACAGTCAACTTGGCTAATAACGACTGCGGATATAACGACTGCGGATATAACGACAATTCGCGAATAACGACAGAATGTCCATGCCCAGAGCAAAGCTCCATCCAACTGTAATACATATAATGAGACTTCGGGTGCAACGACACTTCGCGAATAAGGATACTTTTTTGATGCCCCGCCGAGTGTCGTTATACGCGAAGTTGACTGTACGTACATAAACATGGTACGACCTAGGCCCACGGGCTTGTGCAACGAAGCTTCGCGATGTTCGAACTTGGCCTGGGCTTATGCGCGAGCATGGGCTTATACGCGAGCATGGGCTTATACGCGAGCATGGGCTTATCCGTGGGATTCTACGGTAGTCCACCAGCAGTGCATGCACACCATACACACTCTACCATGATCATCACTATGCCACTAAACTGCAACAATGCGCATATGGCTACAGCCCATCACAAATAACTGATCTCCGGACTTTTTCAAATTCAATTTAGATCGAATAAGGCTCAAATACCCAATCACAGTTCTGCCAGAATGGGTTTTGGACCAGCATGCCTGTACGACTTATCCATGGTAAACCCGGCCGAAACACTCAAAACCTGTCCAATGCGACACGATCTGCAACGGCGGCATGCGATGCGAACTCTTGCATAACCATTCACAGAAGAAGTCAGCGATGTGACGTCGTCTTGTTGATTAAGCGCAAAGTTCAATGTAGGTGAGCACGTCACCATGGTATACAATCATGTATTTGCGTGGCTGGGTACAACTTTTTACAAATCTACAAGCAACTCTTGACCCTTTCATACATCTTTGCTGCAAAAAAGGTCAAAATCGGACATCGCATTGCGTGTCGCAGCGCGAAAGTTGAGCAAAGCTCAACTTCTGCGATGGCCCAGTGCAGTTGCAACAGTTGTGTAAGCTGGGAGATGGATACGATTTGGGGATTTCCCGGTTTTGCGGCCGTCGCATCGGGCACCGCATCGCAAAAATGCTTCTGTGAATCCCGCTTTAACGTTGGAATACGTGTATCACCTCGGTGGCACTTCCCCAGAAATACCAAGAAAGAAGTTCATTTTCAGCTGTAGCTAGCTGTTGATCTGAGCTCAATGTTTCAACTTTTCTCAATGTTTCAAACTTTCAAATTTTTAAATATTCTCGTGGCTTGATATTCAGGGACCAGCTAGATCAAGCCCCAATGAAGCAGATCAGGTGTACCTCTAGCCATCCGATCTCGAGAAAATTCAGAAAGTGTAATAATTATCATGGCTCTTACCTGTTTCAGTAGGATTGAATTCACCATTGTTGAGAACCTGCACAAGTGATCCAATACTCTCGCGATCTCCATTCATTTTCCAGTTACCACCTACGAAAAACTTTCTTGATGCCATGGCTAAAAATCGGATCTACTCGCGAATTGACTTTCTGTTCTTCCTTCGAGTCGGTCACCGTTCTTTTTCTGGTTTGTTGGTGATAAAGAGCACTTTGTCTGTGTCTTTGATTCTTTGAACAACACACAAAAAAATGTTGCGACACACTTGCTTTTGCAACCGGAAGCTCGAAGCTTGTTGCTGTGCACGTGCGTTTTGCATCCATATCCATGGCCGGCCAGACAATGCAGCATGCATGCATGATCAATCATGGCCTGGACAAGGCACGTGACGCATTGCGCTTTGTGCACGTCTGCACGACCGCATGCACGTGGACGGTCGGGGGGGCGGGGGGGGCGGGGGGGGGGGCCGGCATGGATATGGGAGTCGTGGACCGGCCATGGTGGAAATGACTGGGCCAGGCCCAGGGTCGCCCGTGGCATGGTGCAGGGTGCACTGTGCTGGCAATACAAGTGGCAGGCGTAGGCGCGTCGCACCGACTTTGGAGGTGGGCCTGGGGCGGCCATAGGGGTCCTCCCCCGGGGAAAAAATTCAAAAATTGAAGCCAATTGCAAGCATTTCCGGGCATTTGGTGCCATTTCAGTCACGGTACGGTATCCCGGTAACTACAATGAAAAACTTTTTGATTCTGCAAAAAACCAAGAAGATGCTACGATCGGGGACAAACATTACCATCCCCCGGGAAAAAATTCAAAAAATGAAGCCAATTGCAAGCATTCCCAGGCATTTGGTGCCATTTCAGTGTACATGGACTTTTGATTCTGCAACAAAACCACGATCGGGGACAAGGATTTGCCATGTTTGCGCTGAGATCATCGCGCTTTGTTGCAGTGTGCTAAAAAAAAAAAAAACGGCCAAAAAAGTGGGGCGGCCATGGCCGGTGCGGTTCCGACGCCCTATACCCTACCCTTGGCTGGTTTGTAGCAGTAATTGCCAGATTTGTAACTCCCTGGTTGTAGCTGTGCGTGCGTGGTGCACTCACTGGTCATGGTCATGGCAGTGCAGCAAGAGTATGGTCATGTAATGGCATGGGAGCTTATCTTGCTGATATGATGCTCGTAGATCTACCAAGTATCATCACATAAAATGATAATATTATTTTGATAATGGTAAACTCCAGTATGCATGAAAGCCTTATTATTACTCTTGCTGATACTTGATAGCAGACTGCTCGATCATCATGAACCAGTAAGACTCCCTAGGCCCTGTAAGAGTGACTTGGGAGCAGCTCAGTTTATTACATTTTTCTCTTGCTCCTTGTCACGAGGGAGCCCTCTTGTAGGCCCCACGCATCACGGTACACTTACGTTTGCCGTGGCACCTGAGCACATGGATCAAACACTGAGCCAGCCTGGGACTGAAAAGGACACCTTTTCTGACACTCAAATACAATGCCGCAGCAATGCAATACAACATACGCCGTAACGCGGATACCAACGCCCAACGGGCTTAGTTGATAAAGGTCTTCTTCGGGCATACAGCGCATACTCACACACATCGTGCAAACACATCACCACAACCACGTCATACTCATAGTCTGAGATATCTGAATCATTCTGGTGGATAAATTGATGATACTTGTAAAATTCAATGGTAGATACTTTGATGTGACAGCTTCGGAATGCAAAGCAAAAACACAACAATACCAGTAATAGCAACAGCTTGCACAAGCAAGTAATAATTAGTTGACTTGAAAATAGACTCCTGCGACTAGGGTTAGAAGAACAAAGTATAATCTGACATAAGAGTGACAGAAGATCACTGAAAGCTCACACTCCAAAGATAAGTAGCCACTGTATGGAAAGAATAGCTGCGGGAAAGGAGTGAGCAAGAGATTAATGTTAACATGGTAAGTGATAGCAAGTGTGTGCGCGCGCGCATGTGTGTGTGTGGTGGTGGTGGGGTGTTAGATAGATAGATAGATAGAGAGAAAGAGAGAGAGAGTGTGTGTGTGTGTAGCATCACGATATGGCTTTCAAGAAGCAGATAAGAAAGCAAAAATAGACAGATCCAGCAACGATTACACAGCTCAATGAACCATTCGAGAAAGATGTGGAGTAAGCTATAAGCCAAGAAGTCGGACCGGCCCGCCAGCCAACATAACTCAGTCAATCGGAAAAAAGGTCAAGAATAAACAAGAAGTGAAGCAAAGACTGCAGAACTAATGCTTCGTTTTTCTTACATCCAGCTGCAGTAAGTACAATAAGTTAGCAACTCACCAGTACCACAGCACCACCAGCCAAGTTCAAGCAAGAGTGGAGGATCATCAAGCAAGGCTTGCTAATATCTTTGCCATGCCTGGGTGGATCCGCCCCTGTATGTCAGTATACGGAAACGGTTCTCCATCCACAGCCAGGTGGTACGGACCCAGCTTGCCATCTTGTCGAGTAGGCTCAATGCGAAACGCCAATGCGGGCAAATCATGCACACCAAGATGGTCGTCAATGCGATTCCTCAGGCGTCCCATCTCAACGAAGAGCTGGCAGAGCGTAGACCTAGTACATTGCTGGTCACACATGACCAAGTGAATGCGGCCATCGCACAGCTGCGACTGACGTCGGAACTGAACCGTCTCGGTCAAGTGAGTTTGAATCGTTGGCTGAACGATAACATAATTCCCAGTTTTGACAACCCAATGCTCGGAGAGCGGCTCAGATGACGACAATGGTGGCATGCAAGTACATTGCCGGGATGGCTGTGCACACGGGCACTTGCCATCTCCATTTGCTGGTAAGTAGGAGAAGCGACACGGGAATGATGGGAACTTGAAGATCTGCTGAGCGAATGTCAGCATAAACCGAGCAGGACCCAGGTGACGCAGTGAATCCGACTTGATATCAATCTCCGCCAGGAGACCCCATTCGATGGAGAGGACGGAGTACAGATGCCTGCCATCACCACCTTGGATCTCCATCACGTCCAAATCCACGGGCTTGCCCTTAACAGCAACGAAAGCGGCATTACTTGCATGGTGGTACTCTTTCACCTGGTTATTAATACTACCACTTATAGCGTTGCCAGAACCACATGGAATTACTGTCAGAGGTATGCTGTTCAGCACCTCATCATGGTCACTACGCTCCATAATACCATTCACGATCTCAAATAACATGCCGTCGCCTGATATGGCCATGATGCAGTCGACGCCAGTCAGGTCGACTTCCTTCATGTGGCTGATGACAAAGCCAGCAGAGGTTGATCGGACCAACCGGTGGGTGCAGCCAGCATCCTCCAGCATCGGCAGGACAACCGTCTTCAGTAGAGTGTCGGCTTTTCCTGTGCCGCTGAACGGGTTGACGTAAATCAGATAATGCCGTGCTCTCGACTTGGGTATGACCAACCGGCCATTTTGCACACTTACTGACACTCCTCTAGATCGAGCTTCAATTGCTCTGCTCCATAGCTGACAGGTATCAATGTTCTCCTGCCTGTCGGCTCTGCTGTCCAAGGAGAAAGTCAAGCAGCGTCGGGTTCGTGGCCCAGATACTTTCGGATACACATACAACACGACCTGTCCATGTCGTACGCCGGGATACTCTACAGCACTAGAGCCAACAATATCGGTGAAAGCGATTTTCTCTGCGAACGTACTGCCATAGCTGCCTATCAATAAGCTGTCTTCGAGAAGCTGAATCAAAACTACACTTGTCGAATCGTCTCCCAGCCAAAATACGTCAGCCAGAAGCCGAGAATTTCGGTCCTGTGCTCCGACGTCACCCCCACTTCCGTTGTGATCAGCCACCTCCATTCTATGCGGTACGGCTCAGCAGTTTCATTTCTTCGTCTCTAAAGTCAGTTCAAGATCATCATTCGGTCCTGTGGCCAACACCAGTGTGGTCGACCATGCATTCCCCAGAACAACCAGGCGCTAGAATTTTTAGTGTGACCAAGCAAATGTCTGAAGCTGCTTCTACAATGATCATTGAATGTCCGGTTGTTTACCAGCTGTCAAGTGATCGATCGTGAACTCTGATGTGATGATATGAGTGAGTAGACTCGTACCCGTACATTTCTTATGCACGAAGTACAGCACATGACTGTACTCGAAGTGCACGTGGGTCTTCTCGCGTGACGTCGACTGCTGACTGGTCGATGGACGCGCGCGCCCGGGTTTTTTCTTCTGTCGACGTAGCGTGTCCCTCTTTCAGTATTCGACACTTTTTATTTGAAAAAGTGATCTGAAGAAGAGTGCATAAACTGATTTTCCAATTATTTTCCTCATCATCTGCAACTGCTCGGGAAAGTCCGCTTGAGGAGAAAAATGGAGGATAAGCGATTGGCCACCTGGCCCTATAGCTCTATACCACCTGGAGTCAGTCGCATGATGTTGGATAGCAGAGGAACCTTGTTTATTTGTGGACAGCAGGGAAGTCTTATCGTATCCTTTATAAAATAATGAATTATTATTATTTATTTGTGATAAGAGTAGATATATACCGTTGATATAGTACACGCGTTGATAGAACATGATTGTGATAAAACATGGCTCGCAGCTTGGCGGTGGTGAATATCCCAGGTGGTTGAAAATTCTATAAATTCATTCAAAACTACAGAAATACAAATAATTATCGTACTTGCCGGAGTATAGTGCGCACTTTAGAGGTACTATTTCTGCCCCCAAATCGCAGGTGCGCACTATGCTCCGAATATGAAAATGCATGTACCGTAAAGTACCGCGAGAGCGCTCCAAATCCCGAGAGCACCCCACCTTGATTTTACAGCCAAGGGAAGAAAATCGTAAGGTCACACTTGGCATGTTTTTATGTTATCGGGAGCTCGCATCCGCAGGAAAGTAAACTGGGTACGGATTGACTGCACAGCGTGCAATGTGTGTACAAGGTCCGTGTCGTATGACCTACAGACAGGAAACCACCTCCACAAGACGACCACGAAAGGACGAGATGGTGGGGCGCTCTCGCGTTACTTTATGGTACATGTACTTCGAAAAGTAGTGCAATGCATCAAACTGTTACGAAGTGTGCCACCTCTGACCCTTAGCAAGCCATATATGCATGCGCTTTTTATGATAAACTCTGACAATGGTTGCACTATAGTACTGTCTTTATGATCGATGATGCACTCAAATCTAGGCTGCGCATTATACTCCGGATATACCTTGAATTGCCGGAACGTGGCTCAAAAAAAGAGGGGTGCGCATTATACTCCGGCGAATACGGTAATGGTAGTTCGTATCAACTGCCCGTACTTTGTGGGTGTATGTTTTAGGAGAACACACGCATGCAATACGTGAGTTTTGCTGTAATCAATTCTGCTGCCACCACTATCATCACTTCCACTGTTGCTGCTATTGCCACCACTACCACCATAGGCAACCCCCCCCCGCTGCCGCCGCAACCACCGCGATGAAGCAGCAAAGACTGGCCTAGTTGCCGTCGAGAAAATTCCAAAGACTTGGAGACCTTGCCTAAAGTTGTGGAAAACTGTAGACCTCTATACATGTATAGCGCACTATCAAGCAAGGCTTCCATGCACACTGTATAGCGCACTATCAAGCAAGGCTTCCATGCACACTGTATAGCGCACTATCAAGCAAGGCTTCCATGCACACTGTATAGCGCACTATCAAGCAAGGCTTCCATGCACACTGTATAGCGCACTATCAAGCAAGGCGTCGCACACGCTACGGTCACTACGGTATTGACCGTACCACTATTTGACCCAAGTACCCTGTGAATCAGTGAAATGCACTGATTTGGGCTCTAAATTTCCAAATTTTCGGCTCAGCCACCCCTCCCCCACGAGTGAATTGTACTTCAGATGGCTGACCGTACCACACTAAAATACCTTCCGACGCCCCTGAGTGTAGATGTATAGCAGGCTTATGCTGTAGCTGTCTTGTTGCTTTACATTCCTCAACTTGATGTTACTGGCCGGCACAATGCAGGACGTCCACCAAGCACCAGCCCAGGGCGGTATGTTGGTCAGTCACCGTAGCTTCATCCCTGTGGATAAGACCGAGCTTGTCAAGCCCACGTTCACTCAGAGTTGTAAACTAGTCGGCACGCTTCTTCAAGGTACAGCTGCTACTCCGTCGCTGCTATGAGCCATATACTGTGTGCGCACGCGCGCGCGCGCGTGTGTGTGTGTGTGTGTGTGTATGCTTGCGTGCACGATGGACATGTTGCCCCTGTCACCTGCTATAATGGTGTGTGTGTGTGTGTGTGTGTGTGTGTGTGTGATTTCTGTGTTAGAAATCTTTATTGTTGTTTTTTTAGCTTTGTTTTACTTCCCCATAGGCACAGGCAAAACCTGCCTTCTCACTGGGCGTATTGCCACAGTTCTCGCAAAATGATGAAGATATTCTCACGGTGTGTTGTTGTTGTTGTTGTTGTTGTTGTTGTTGTTGTTGTTGTTGTTGTTGTTGTTGTTGTTGTTGTTGTTGTTGTTGTTGTTGTTGATTTTGGTGATAATGATGATGATGATGATGAAATGGTAGATACGCCGAACGCTCCCAACACTGTATCAATGATGCTTGATCGTACGATGGTGGTTTACAAGGAGGACTTGCCAGCTCAGATGTTCTACCGTCAACTTGCCGCATGCCCATGTGCAGGAAGTCGGGCGAGGTAGGCCGTCGTTCGCTTTCTTCCCCAACTAGGCACAAACAGGAACATGATTGTGTTGACAGAACTTGACACTGTGTTTGATTTGAAAGTTACACTGCTATTTCCGACATAGATCGGCTCTTTAATGAGATGGCAGATTAGTTAGGCTGTGTTTACATGAGGCGTTCAACCCGGTCAGATTTCAACCGGCCATGTACACAAAATGAATGGCGCGTTTACATGACGCATTGCGCTTGACCCGGGTTGAAATTTCGCCCCAGGTTGATTTCAACTCTCCCCCATCAACCCGGGCCAAGAAAATCGTACTAACGTACTTCTGTGCGTATCTCCCGCCAGGTTTGACACTGTACATGCAAATTTCGAGCGAAAGGATTCACGTGACTATACGGAACTGTAGAAGTGGACTTTTGGCGGCATATCAGTATTTGACCCGGGTCAACTGTCTTCATGTAAACGCTCACCTATTTTGTCTATCGTACAGACTTTCAACCCGAGCTGAACTCGACCCGGGTTGAAATTTCTCATGTAAACACAGCCTTATATGGCAGAGGCATTTGTCTTATCTTCCCTTACAAAGACAGCCACTGTTTATATGCAGGTGCTCTCAGTTTGAGAGCCTAGCCTATAGGCTACAAGCACGTTTGTGGCACAATGGTTAATGTGTGTGTGTGTTTGTGTGCGTCCGTGCATGTATGCTTGCTTCCTTGCATAGGCATGCTTGTGTATACTGTAAGTCTACAAGTTTTCAGCCATTCAAATTTCGGCCTCCCAGGGCTAAAACCAAGAGTACATAACCCCCAAGAGTGTTATATATATAATATTTTTGTGCAACTCCAGCTATGGGGTCTGCGACCGCAGAACCTCACATCACGTGATGAACCCGTACACATTATTTGCACTCTGTGCATGATTGACACAGGGTTGTACGCAACCAAGCTTTGGGTACAATTCTCTTGTGGTCACTTTGCCCTGTTTGCCAGTGTAACCTTTTTGAACCATGTTACGTGATGTGAAGTTGTGCCGTCGCAGCACAGCATAGAGGTTGTGCAGGCAGTTGCACACTCTAGGGGGTCATGTATATGTTCTGCCGTCGCAGCACTGCATAGAGGTTGTGCAGGCAGTTGCACACTCTTGGGGGTTATATACATGTACTCTTGCTAAAACCCATTTCGGCCGCATCAAATTTTCGGCCTCTACTGCTGCCGCCTGTATACACTGTCACACTGAACATTGCAAAACAAAATTTCGGCCGCAACGAATTTTCGGCCAAACATGACCAGGCCGAACATGACCAGGCCGAAAATAGCCGAAAGTAAATATGCACCGAATATTTGCTGACTTACAGTATGTATATCTTGCCCATGCACTGGAGGATGCACCCAGTGTGCTGAGAGTTCTCAATACATGGACTAGTACCCGCAGAGGCAAAGCGAGAGCAGTAAACTAACCTTGCCCCTGTTCAACTCTGTGTGTGTTTACCCGTGCATGTGTATGTGCATTGGCTGGCCGTGCAGGCGCAAGATTGCTACAGTCACTCTCAATGGCAATGTGTCTATACACATGGCATCTCAACTCAGCTCTTACTGGGATAAGGTGCGTGCAATGTTCTTCCGTGTATATGTGTGTGTGTGTGCGTGCGTGCATGCGTATTGTGTTCTATTTGTTTGCATGCACCTGTTCTTGTGCGTGCGTGTTTTTTTAATTTTAATTTAATTTTATTTTACAAAGATCACTTGAATGCCAAACAATACATGAGCTGCAGCTCGTGTGTGTGTGATTATGTGTTTGCTTGTGTGTGTACTGTATATGTGCAGTCATATGTGTGTGTGTGTGTGTGTGTGTGTGTGTGTGTGTGTGTGTGTGTGTGTGTGTGTGTGTGTGTGTGCTCTCTGTCTCCTCCCCCCCCCCTCCCGCACCGCACCTGTCACACTTCTAGATAAACTGTTTCAAATCTTTTCTCACACTAGACAACTTGGCATCCGGTGAGCTCAAGTGTGCTGGGTGGGAAACCTGTCGAGCCTCCCCTGCCCCGCTTGTCTTAGCACCATCACCCACACACCATCACCCACACACCACGACAGCAGTCAAGTTACCTGGTATATCATGTAACATGTTGCCCTATGATTGTGTTGTGTCTATTGCTGCAGGTTTGCAGTGTGTCGGCCGTGTTGCTGGACTACTTGGGTACGCGCAAGAATGGTTTAGCCGATGATGCTTCGTGCTCCTTTCAGCCGCCTCAAGTGGTCAAGAGCACTGGGTAAACATTGTGTGTATGTGTGTGCGCGCGTGCGTGCGTGCATGTGGGCGGGCGTGCGTGCGTGTGGGCGGGCGGGCGTGCATGCGTGCAGGCGGGGGGGGGGGGGGTAGTGTTGAAACGTTGTAATGCAACGGAACTTGTTCGCATATGCAGTGTTGTGGGAATGGGTGTGTCCACCCAATTCCCTCTGAACTTGCTGTTTGCATACCAAAGCTATTTATTAAGGAACTCACTTTTGTTTTCTCATCGTCAGTCGCTTGAAGATTTTCATATGCACTAAACTCTGAGTTGCAACTGATCCCGAGTGGTTTCTTTTCTTGTGCATGTGTGTGTGTTTGTACGTGTGTGCATTTGCCTATTTTCCCACTGCAGGGAAGTGAGCCGTGCACCTGTTGTAAGTGTAACAAGTGTCTGTATCAGCATAGGGCTGGGCTATAGGGCTGGGCTATAGGGCTGGGCTATAGGGCTGGGCTGGCGAGCATTCAGCCAAATGATGCAGTCCTAAGGTTTTAGGCTCATCTTGTTTGAGATAAATGCCATTATGTCTCACGTCGGACTTACTGCTGAACTCCAACAGTAAGACAGGCAGGCAGGCATTTTTGCAGACAGCCAGCCAGACAGCCAGACAGCCAGCCAGCCAGCCAGGACAGACAGACAGACAGATGATCTTCTCTATCTACCTTCTACTATCTTATTAGTGTACACAGTGCAGTGCGCGATGAATGGCGAGAGAGAGAGAGAGAGAGAGAGAGAGAGAGAGAGAGAGAGAGAGAGGGGGGGGGGGGGGAGAAGCTGTGTTGCAACTCCCAGTTTCACGTAGTCACAATCAAAACTTGCCTGATGATTGTGACTATGCGTAGCTCGGAGTTGCATCACAGCTCCCCCCCCCCCCCCCCCTCCCTCTCTCTCTCTCTCTCTCTCTCTCTCTCTCTCTCTCTCTCTCTCGTGTGGAAGCCCAGGCGCGTGCACCGTATGAGTTTTTTCGTGTCTGGAAACCACCTTTTTTCGGGCAATCTTGCCAAAGGAAAAGCGTGCCTACGCTCGTATACTGGATTGCTTATCGTGCATACGCGTCGATCGACGGGCAGTTTACAGTACAGTGACTATGTCCTTATTTCGAAGTGAGAGAGAGAGAGAGAGTTGCTTTGCATGCAGTTCAAAATACATTATTCTCTCTTTCTTCAGTGGAGAGCAGCCACAGAGAGATCGATCTCTATAATTGTAGCTCTGGTTCGCTCCTGGATTGGCGATGACGTTCAAGAAATCCGTTTTGTCTCGAAATTTGAGTCAAGCACGCGCGATGCAAGTCAGTTCAAGGATATAATTGACGATATGTCCTTCCAAACTGTTGACTCAAATCAAGATGACAGCCTTTCGTTCTCGCTCATGTGCGCAGCAGAGATGTTCGTCAAAAACGTAACGTCGTTGTCGACTGGAAGACGTAAAAATGTGCGTCCATGATCCACTTGCGCTGCTTCAGAACGAAGCGCTGCTCCGGCCGCGACTCAAGGACGCGGGGCTTCGCTTTTCTCCCGCGAGCTTCCATCGAAGCAAGGTCCATAACTCTTTATTGAAATCATGTGGAACATTGCCAATACATGCCGAAACCTTCGTCATAAGAACAGAAAGAAAGATACGTCGAATGTAAGCAGTGTTTTGATGAAACAAACATGCCTGCATGGAGTGGACTAGTGAAGTACCATAGACAAAGTGTTATACTTATACTATATATAAGTTATAGACTGTAGTCTAAGTGTATACAGTTACATGTAGCCTGGGCGGCTAGGCCTATCAAACTAACTTTTACGGGTTCAATATGACAAACATGTATACATGGTATATGAGTACATTTACTTTTTGAAGTGCTGGTATGTAAAAGGTAACCCGTACCCATTTTATCCTGTTACCGGTCATACATGTACCAACATATCCATGTAACATCGTCCCCTCCCTCCATTCCTCATTACTCTTTTAAGAGTAATGAGGAATGGAGGGAGGGGACGATTAACAGTCTTATTTCTGTCCTTTCTACCCCTGTACCTGGTGCCCTCTCAGACGCGTTTGTGCCGGCATGATCTGATGATAGCAGTCGGACGAGCCCCGCATCTCATCAGCACCAGTGTTCATTGGTGCCCTGCACCCCTGATCTTGAGCCCCCCCCCCAGCCTCCTCCCTAGCTAGCCCTCGCCGTTATCTCCGACGGGATGTTCGGGGGATGCGCGTGTGCACAAACGAGCCCGATCTTTGAACAGCTCCGCCTCACCACCCTGGAGGACATGTTTAACATTAAGCTCCTCATCTTTGTCCGTCGTTGTCTGTTCTCCCGAGCTAGCTCCCTCTTCACCAGCTTCTTCGTGAGAGTTACTGGTGACCGCACTCGGGGAGCAGCACATCACCTCGTTCGAGTACCATTTTGGCCCGGTCCTGCGGGTCGAGCGACCGTGCAGTTCATCGGCGCAGTCCTGTGGAACCAGCTCCCGCCTGATCTCCGTTCCGAGCCCAGCCACCTTCAGTTCTGTGCCCTGCTAAAAGCGCATCATGGCTCCGCTTAAATGCTTTTCGGCTAGTGTGTTTCTGTGGTATAGCGGACTGAAGAATAGTAAACGTGTTTTGCAATATATGTATGAAGCTATTTTGTATATAGTATGTTCCCATTCCGTTTTTGCTTTGGTGTAGCCCTGAGGTTGATTGCTTATTTATTTCTACCCTTCCTCTCTCCATACTTCTGTCCCCCCCCCCCCCTCTCTCTCTCATTCCTTCTGTCGTCCACATGTATCAAAGGAGGCGGCGAAATCACCTGTTTGTGGTGCGACGTTAAATAAACTTCTACAACTACAACACAAATACATAATTATACAGTGGGTCTCCAGAAAAAAATTACCAACTCTAGAAACCCCCCTTTCAAGACTCGGTGCACGCCACTGAAGCCTCTGCCTACATGGGTATTGAGCACTCTTCGAGCAGTGGAGCACGCTACATGTACTTGATTACGTAAATGGCTTAGCCCAATTGATTAATTTTGTTTGTTGTGTTGTGTTGCGTAGACAACAGTTGCGGATGAGTATAGCCACCGGAAGCAAGCATGCACTGAAGGTACGCTTTTCATGTCCGAATGCTGACTGGTAGTATTGAACACTGCATGTGTGTGTTTGTGTGTATGTGTGTGTGTGTGTGTGTGTGTGTGTGTGTGTGTGCATGTGTGTGTGTGCGTGCGTGTGTGCGTGCGTGTGTGTGTGTGCGTGTGTGCATGTGTGTGTGTGTGTGTGCATTCGCGTGTGTATATGTGCGTGCGTGTGTGCATCTGCACGGGCAGGCATGCATGTGTGCGTGTGAAGTGACTATGGACCGCTATCTGAGTGTCATAGACATGGCCACGCAATGCAATAAGCAGTGTGTGTAGGGCAGTGCGCTGAGTATGGGCAGTCTTCAGTGGATAGTCTTCTTCTCCTTCCCTATTCCGCCCCCTCTCTCTTTGGCTTGTCACCAAGGACTTGTGTATATAGCTATACTTGTCTGTGCTATTTGCATGTTACTTATTTCAAGTTATTTGCTACAGTTTGTTGAATCTGTGTAGCACTGTCATGTCACATGTTTTGAAATGCAGCTCTGGACTGGTGTACCGTGCCGTGTGCAAAAGCCAGCAGTAGCGACTTGCGAGCTACAAGTCACCCGACGCCGACCGGCGACTCGGATTCGTTCCTTCTCCTGACTGTACAGCGCACGGGACATGCTTTGTTCTGGGAGATACAGAGTCGGTACGGTTTCACTGTCTGTGCGTGTAGGACTTTCTCCTCCTCATTGTTTGCGTCTTTCTTGCTCCATTGTCCTCTCATGTAATGATCACATGCCAGCAACCATCTCATGCATGCTTCTCTTGCGCCGGGCGTATACATGGTACATACATACATACATACATACATACATACATACATACATACATACATACATACATACATACATACATACATACATACATACATACATACATACATACATACATACATACATGTGTGTGTACATGTGTGTGTACATGTGTGTGTACATGTATTCTGTGAACGTGTCTTTAGGAACGGCCAGACTATACCGGTGTTACTGTACTCCCACCTGTTGCAACAAGACCGTCCGCTGTCAGTCACCGAGGTGCCAGTCAGTACCGGTGAGTACATGTAACCGAACACACACCTCACCGTAAGGGGGGGGGGGGGGGGTGTGGAGAAGAGAGTTTCCCCACGCCTGATGGGTAACTCTACTACGCCAGCCGTATTCCATGTACAGTAAAACCTGTAACTAAAGACCACCGTGACATGGTGACGAGCGACTACAAACCACTTCGCCAGGCACGGACGGTCTCACATTATTATTATTATGGTTGTGCGATGCAAACCTCTAACTAAGGACCACCTGCCACTGAAGACCGCTTTCTCTGGCCCCAAGGGCAAGGGGTGGTCGTTAGTCACAGGTTATACTGTACTGTGCTCGGCCTGGACTTGCGTTGGTCCTCGTAATGGCATGCCCCTTTAACCGCATATGTTGCGGTTTTAGAAGAGTAAAAGCGCATTTCTACAGAAAAAGGGCATGCCCTTGTGCACGTACTTCAAAGTACCGGTATTTGGATGTGCAGTAAGAGCGCTCCGGTCGCTGTCAGATGTGATTGCGTGCAATGTTTTTCCCCTGGTCCCGGATGTGTTGTCGGGACTAGACCGTTCTCACTCTCACACACTTTCAATAAAGGCAAGGTAAAAAAAAAGGATTGTTTATCGTCAGCGCCGGCCTCCAATTTTCAACTGCTTGGCCGAACTGCCTGGCCGAGCTGCCTGGCTGAGCTTATTTTTATTTTCTTAGTACATGTACTGTATGTGTGTACCTGGCTGAGCGTATTTTACAGTCGGGTACGGGTGCTTTATGTTGATCAAGCATGTGCTGCATACACTGACATACATGGCATTTGTACTACATGTATGGTCTATGAGGTATACTTGCAGTAGCACACTGTCTTGCACTTTGCGGCATTCGAACTGCGTAGCTGTATCTTCGAAGGCAACATTGGAAACTCCCCAGCCCCACTACAAGGTGACCGACTTGTTTCCAACTTTACAGCCCATCTCTGCACTTTGTTTTGTGCTGGAGTTCAAGAAAGAAAAGATGTGTCGTCATGCATGCATGTGTTCACAATCCTGGTGCTTGAAAGTGTGATGTGATGTTTGTGTGTGTGTGTGTGTGTGCGCATTCGTCTTTGTGCGCGTGCATTTGTGTGGAACAGGAGGCAAACAGATTTGCTTTGCTGTTGGCTTTTCCAACGGCACGGTGTTGAAACTGACGGCCAAGATGAAGACCAGGAGCAAGGGCGGCAGCAAAGTTGCAGATGTCAGCACTTGCATGCTGTGGCCAGAGACTGATGGTATTCCGGTGACTCGATTAACTCGTGTGAGTTTGAACACTTTCCACGGTGGTTAAAGGGGAAGTATACCCTAAAATCAAATTTTCACCAGTTGTAGTCTTCGGGGTGCTGAGTTGAATGGTCTTGGTCCGAGGAAGCTGAGACGCTCCCTTCCTCCTTTATTCCCAATCGAACTCGCGCACTTCCACCGAAACTGGGTGATTGCGCCCTACTAGATGGGGATTTGTATGCAAAATGTCACTAAAAGCGCCATTTCGTTCTTATAAAAGCACGTATGACCGCCATTGGCCCATATGTTGTGGTCTTTTGGACGCTGAGTCGACTGGGTTTGGTCCGAAAAGGCTGCGATACAGCGTTCCTCCTTTATTCCCAATCGAACATGGTTGAACAAGCGGCCACATGCTCCTGCGTACACCAGTCACCTGGTCACCGTGCCTGCAGGGTACAACTTACTAGCCTGTTTGACCTTTTTTGGGTGCAGTCCTGTCACTCGAGTTGAACTCGAGTTGAACCTTGGTGTGAAAGTTGTCGCCTGCTGGCGCGGTGACCAGGTGATTTGGGCACCCAGGAGCACGTGACCGCTTGTTCAACCATGTTCGATTGGGAATAAAGGAGGAACGCTGTATCGCAGCCTTTTCGGACCAAAACCAGTCGACTCAGCGTCCAAAAGACTACAACATATGGGCCAATCGCGGTCATCCGTGCTTTTATAAGAACGAAATGGCGCTTTTAGTGACATTTTGCATACAAATCCCCATCTAGTAGGGCGCAGTCACCCAGTTTCGGTGGAAGTGCGCGAGTTCGATTGGGATTCAAGTAGGAAGGGAGCGTCTCAGCTTCCTCGGACCAAGACCATTCGACTCAGCACCCAGAAGACTACAACTGGTGAAAATTTGATTTTAGGGTATACTTCCCCTTTAAATCTGTGTTGAGCGGTGTTGGACTCTGATATCTTCTAGCTGTATCGGGATATCTACTACTACGTGTTGTGAATGCAACGAGAGCAAAACTAGCAGTGATGAATTGCCTGGAAGAGGCTCTGATAAGAGAGAAATCAGTGCCCACTCTATCAGTTGTAGATTGCACTGGCATGCGCACAGAAAGAGAGCAACGCAGTGTGTGTGTGTGGGGGGGGGGGGGGGGGGGGGGCTTTCACATCTTTGTGTGTGTGTGGGGGGGGGGGGGGGGCTTTTCACATCTGTGTGTGTGTGGGGGGGCTTTCACATCTGTGTGTGTGTGGGGGGGGGGGGCTTTCACATCTGTGTGTGTGGGGGGGGGGGGGGGGGGGGGGCTTTCACATCTGTGTGTGTGTGTAGGGGGGGGGGGGGGGCTTTCACATCTGTGTGGGGGGGGGGGGGGGCTTTCACATCTGTGTGTGTGGGGGGGGGGGGGCTTTCACATCTGTGTGTGTGTGGGGGCTTTCACGTCTGTGTGTGTGCGTGCATGTGTGTGTGTGTGTGTGTATGTATGTGTGTGTGTATGTATGTATGTATGTATGTATGTATGTGTGTGTGTGTGTGTGTGTCTATGTGTGTATATGTTCCTACATGCTGAACGTGTCTGTTTATCTGTCTGTGTATGTGTGTTGCTGTAAACATGTAGAATGGCAAGGACAGCCTACTGGTAGTCAAGAACGATGTCATTCTCTTATTACCTCTTCAAGAGATCACTGCGCCAACTGCTGGCAATACCGATGCCACTGCTCCAACAGCTGGTGATACTGCTGCCACTGCTGCTGCCGCTGTGGCTAGGGCGAAGGTCATAGCACATCCATACGGCCAAGTTGTTGGTGAGTTAGCTTTTTTCCCCCTGGCTAAAACTGGTCGGAGAAAAATCGTGGAAATTTTCAACAAAGTGTGTGCACCTGTGCATTCTCGTGGGATAATTTGCTGTTGCAATCCAAGTCATTTCCTATGTGTGACATCATGGCCATGCTCTTGGAAGACATGGGCATTCTGGTAGTGCATGGTGTTAGTTGTGTAGTGCATGGTGTTAGTTGTCTCCATCCTACTACTGTCGTCAGATCGTTTTCTATTTTTGAATTGCCCAACACAGCCACGCAGGCATGTAGGGTCCTGGGAATCACAGCCTGTCTTGTTTCTTCCATTGATGTTATTATGCTATTCATTTATAGCAAAGAAAAGGACCAAAGAACTACAAGTTACGCTATAATGTCCACTAACACCACCAGTTACTTGAACGTCAGTATCGTCGGTCAGCGTAGTGCAATGTTATCGCATGAGCTGATTGTCAAGTAACTGGTGGTGTTAGTGGACATTATAGCGTAACGTGTAAATCCTTGGTCCTTTTCTTTGCTATAAATTAATCCTTGGCTCTCTATCCGAGTCCATGCTATTCATTGTGTGTTAACAGTGTAACACAAAGTAGCATGCATGGCATATGTTGTAGGGCATTGCAAAATACATTCTCTGCAGTGTGGTATACCATAGTGTCTCTCCGTATTTGTATGTCTTTGTAGATTTGTCTGTGAGTTCCGATGGCGGCAGAATTATTGTCACTGGCCTGTCCAACGTTAGCAAGCTGACATTACCCCGGTGGGACAATGACAGCCGTGATGCCAACGCTATGGAAGAAGGTGTGATTCACGTGGTCTATGTGTGACGGTGTCGATACTAAGATTCGATCTCACTTGCTTGCTCTCGCTGCCTGTCTGTCTCTGTCTGTCTCTGTCTCTCTGTCTCCTGTCTTTCTGTCTCTCTGTCTCTGTCTCTGTCCCTCTCTCTCTCTCTCTCTCTCTCTCTCTCTCTCTCTCTCTCTCTCTCTCTCTCTCTCTCTCTCTCTCTCTCTCTCTCTCTCTCTCTCTCTCTCTCTCTCTCTCTCTCTCTCTCTCTCTGTCTCTCTCTTTCTCTCTCTTCTCTGTCTCTCTCTGTGTGTCTCTGTCTCTCTGTGTGTCTCTGTCTCTCCTGTCTCTCTCTGTCTCTCTCTCTCTCTCTCTCTGTCTCTCTCTCTCTCTCTCTGTCTCTCTCTCTCTCTCTCTCTCTCTCTCTCTCTCTCTCTCTCTCTCTCTCTCTCTCTCTCTCTCTCTCTCTCTCTCTCTCTCTCTCTCTCTCTCTCTCTCTCTCTCTCTCTCTCTCTCTCTCTCTCTCTCTCTCTCTCTCTCTCTCTCTCTCTCTCTCTCTCTCTCTCTCTCTCCTCTCTCTCTCTCTCTCTCTCTCTCTCTCTCTCTCTCTCTCTCTCTCTCTCTCTCTCTCTCTCTCTCTCTCTCTCTCTTTACCTACCAGTCGGATAGCTGAGTTCAGTCAAGGATATAATATTATTAACTAGAGTGCGCACCTCTGCTCAGTTTTGCCCACACCGCTTTCTTGTTGTTATTAACTTTTCCAGAGATTGTTATTTAATACATGCAGAGGTGTAGGGACGTTTCCCGAACTCAGTAGAATCTGGCCGTATTGTCCAAAAACGGGAATGAGAAACTTACTCCGGAAGCGAAAAGAACGTTTCAAGATGAAAATCGCCAAGTGTCCTGCATGCAGCCGCTCAGCTCAGATCTTGTACGAAGCCGTACATGATGGCTCTGAGGTCACTGGAAAACTGGACATCAGCAAAGCATATCCCTCTGTGGATCAGACCGGCAACGGGTTTTCACACTTTGGTTCATGTGTTCTTAGTTCTGTCCATTTGGCCGAGCATTCTGCCCTGTATTTTATGCTTGTCCACATTGTCTCATTGCGTACCTGCCTGCCAACTTGCCCGTTCATTTGTCCTCTCACCAGGAAGTCCACCCGTTCATTCAGGCACTTGCTCGGTGTGTGCGTGTGTGTGTGTGTGTGTTTGTTTGTTTGTGTGTTTGTTTGTGTGTTTGTGTGTGTGTGTGTGTGTGTGTGTGTGTGTGTGTGTGTGTGTGTGTGTGTGTGTGTGTGTGTGTGCATGCGTGTATGTATGTACGTGTTTTCTCTACTAAGATCCTCAGTTCACTGACATGAACATCTCTAAGTTTGAACTGGCTTACTTCACCAGCAGTGTGGTATCCCCGAACGGTGTCGCCGCCTTTACTTCCACCAGGTATGTTCTGTCTATGTATTGATCAGCCCCATGAGTAGCGCAATTTGCAAGAGCCTGCACCTCGGAGTGGGCTCGCTATGCCCCGCTGACGGTGCAAACTCACACAGAGCAGTGTTCATATCGTATGCTTCTGAGGCGATTTTTGTTCATAGACACTCACGACTCTGCCATGCCCACTCCCTTTACAATCGTCTACCGCCTCACGGTTTTAACACCTGACGGCCTTCAGCTTTGTTGTCACCACCTCATTCTTCGTGGTGATGCTTGAATGGTGCAATCCCAGCACAAGTTGCTATGGCTTCTGCTGTAGCATCGCTATCATCGCCTCCGGCGATGGGCGTCAAATGGTCAATGGTCTGTGTGTGTGCTTGCATGCATGTGTGCATGAAATAAAACTGCCATGAATGTGTACGTAGTAGAGAGGTTCCGCAAAACGTAATTACGTTAGTAAAAACGTAGTCGATCTACGGAAAGTCTTACGTTCACTGCATGCGGATCTGTGTTCCGCCATACGGAGTTTCAAATCACGTAGCTGCCCTTGGCAACTCGGAATGCGGCAGTGTACGATTGGGTCGACCTGGGGAGAGAGTCACAAATTTGTATCCCAATCCACTTATGGAGCACCTACGTTATCACACATATGATATACAGCCCTACCGTAAGGCAACACATATTCGGCGCATACCGTATTTTTCCGGTTGTAAGTCGACCTTTTACGACTAAAAATAGAAGGAGAAAGGGTGGGGGTCGACTTACAACCGGGATTCGACTTATAACCGGGAACTATCAGCAGTATCTTACAAAAAATGACCTGCACTGCATGCACGAGTGCACCATGTGTACACATTTTTGCCAGTTTATCGGCATTTTTTCAAGGATTGGGACGGTATGCCCTCCAATAAGGAATGTGTACCTGATTTGTTGATGTGTTAGTAGCAGGGAGTGGTTAGTAATGCTTCGTTGGGTGAAAACTTTAAAACGCAGAATTGAGACCTCCAGAAACGGGGGGTCGACTTATAACCGGTAAAGTACGGTATTTATTTTCGGCTATTTTCGGCCGAAAATTTGTTGCGGCCGAAAGGTTGTTTTGCAAGGTTCAGTGTGACAATGTATACAGGCGGCAGCAGTAGAGGCCGAAAATTTGATGCGGCCGAAATGAGTTTTAGCCCTGGGTGGCCGAAATGGGTTTTAGCCCTGGGTGGCCGAAATGGGTTTTAGCCCTGGGTGGCCAAAATTTGATTATTGGGCGGACAATTTGCAGGCTCACAGTATCTACGTACTCCACGTAGACAACTTTCCGTAAGTGGAGTGCAAACTCGCGAATTCACGGATTTTTCCCGCCCACTAACGTAAAGTTGCTCTGAATACTACATTATGTGTGTGTGTGTGTGTGTTTCCCTTTGTCGTCTGTGTGTTGCGTGTGCCCTACAATCTCTTTCTGCCCAGCGACTCTACATTCGTCACAACACGTGCTTTCCCCACAGCCAATGCCGTGAGTTGTGTATCATTTCCTTTAGCGTTGAACCCATGGTACTCAACCTACCGGGTATTTAACCCTGGCACTGTGCTGAAAGTGTTTAGTATCAGGTGTTTCATCTAACGGTCTCTGCTGGGATGACGGCTACACCATACCTCAGCGGTTAGAGCATCGCTGTCCTCAAGCGAAGGTCCCTGGTTCGAGTCCTGGTGGTGACAGTCAATTTTTTCTTCAGACTTTTTCCGTTCTTCATCTTTCCCTCAGACCAGTGAATGTTTCATCTTCCATTTACATTACTTTTTCCTGTGTATTCTCTCTGTGTGGCAGGTGTACTTTGACTGTATAAGCACACTGGATGAGATCGTCAACATCATTCTAAGCTGGACACATGGTGTGTATTACTTTGCACTACTGTACACTAAAACCAATCAGCAATTGTTTGCATGCATGTGGGTATGGCAGGGGGTCATGATGCAGGCGGATGTGCGTTTCGTAAATCGATGCTTTTAGTGGAATGGCATGTACCCGGCCCTTTCCTAGATTTCGAAATTCGGCAACATTTACTCAAATCAAGACCCTGTGAATTGTTCTGATTGAGCAGCAGGTGAGGTAGTAGAGCACCAGACCCAGCAAAGGGGTCAGGGTCTTTGTATTGGGGCAGGTAGACAACTGATGATTTGATAATGTCACAAATCATTGCTTATCCTTTGACAAACACACGTGCTGCAGGCTAACCATTGATAGTACTCTTCTGTGTGTGTGTGTGTGTGTGTGTGTGTGTGTGTGTGTGTGTGTGTGTGTGTGCGCGTGCGTGTGTGTGTGTGTGTGCTTGTGTGCATGCGTGGCGCGCATACATGTACACGCTTGTGGGTTTTTTTTCTCTTCTCGTTCTGCAGATGGCTGTGTAAGATGTGCTTCTTGGGACGTACGGTCTGGCCTTAAGCATGCCCTCAGTCAGATGGCATCAACAGATGTCTGGCCGTCGCCTCTGTCAGCCGTTATGGACTTCAGGTAACCACCATCTTGCTGCTGACTGTATGCTATTGTCCTCCTTTTGATGGTGTACAGTGAAACAAGAACATCTCAGTTTGTATGCTAGTAGTGAACCAGTTCAGTATAACGTACACCTCAACAGGCCGTAGAAATCTGTATTTTAAAGTTTAAGCCACCAACGTACTGTCTGTACGTCCTAGGTCAAATGACTGGGAAACATATTCAGGGTTATCAATAGTAAGGATTTACATCCCATAGTCCTCAATGCTGCAGTCCCATAGCAAAGCAATGGTGAAAGTTTAGCAAATTTGGGGTCTGCGCCTGTTATTAACCTTTTATGGACCAATTAAATTAGTGTGGAAAATGCGGCATTCGATTGACTGCTGTAACTCAAGAACGGTTATGATTTGTTATAATTATATTATACAAGTTGTATGCAGATCGGTTTAGATCGGTTTAGACATTGTAAACTCTCGACCCCCGAGATAGTGACGAAAATGGCGGACGGACGGGTAGATTGCCAGGAGTTCTCGGCTGAATGTGCTGTAGCGTGCTTCGGCCGGCTGTAAACCCTTAGAGAAGAACGCGATGGGCTGCCAAATTGAGTCGACCAGTTGGTTCAGGGCAGCACCAACAGCGAAGTCGGACGCATCAACCATGAGGGCAATCGAAGCGTCGGGTTGAGGATGCGTGAGAAGCGTAACGACGCTGATGGCTTCCTTGACTGCAGTGAAGGCAGATCGAGCTGTGTCACTGAGGACGATAGCTTTGATCTTCGGCGTCTTGGGATCAGCAAGAAGATCAGTATGCGGTTGCACTATTTTCGCACACCTAGGGATGAACCGTCGATAGAAGTTCACTAGCCCGAGGAAACGACAGAGTGCACGGAGGGATGCAGGCTCAGCATACTCAATGACGGCTTGCACTTTCTCGGGCAGGGTGTGCAGGCCTGCAGCGTTGACTCGGTGGCCGAGAAAGTTGACGGCCGGTGCCAGAAACTCACATGTGTGCAAGCTGATGATGAGGCCATGGTCCTCGAGACGTTGGAACACAGGACGGATATGCTCCAGGTGCTCTTCTCGAGAGGTGCTAGCGATCAGCAAGTCATCCATGTAAACGAAGTAGAAGGGGAGGCCCTGCAGTACTTGGCCGATGAAGCATTGCAATGTCTGACCTGCATTGCGCAGGCCGAACGGCATACGGATGAACTCGTAAAGGCCGAATGGCGTAAGGACGGCTGTTTTCGGGATGCCATCAGGGTTGACAGGAATCTGATGAGCTGCTGCATGCGGCGCAACAGGTGGGACGGGGTGCGGTCTCCAAGCTCTTCTTCCGTCAGCAAACGCCGGAGTCGCTTCTGCTCAGACACCTGAGTGCGGGCGATTAGTTGGCTTTTCAGCGTTGTGTACGGCTCAGTCTGCAGAGGACTGATGAGGAGCTCTCTGACCTCGATGGAGAACTGCTCCGACAGTGCCGCAGCCACATAATCAAACTTGGTCCACTGCGCGGTGATGCCACCATGGCTGAAAATACACTCAGCACGAGCAAACCACAGAGCGGGATCCGAGTGATAAAAGTCGGGCAACTTGACACTGACGGCTTCCACAGCTGCGGGCTGGTCCAAATCAGGGCTACTCCCAATAACGCTACCACCACTGTTGCTGGTTGTGGCCTGTGCCCTGTTGAGCTGGTTTAGCAGAGCCTGCTGCTGTTGCCTGAGCGCCATGAGTTCCTCCCTGGTAACTGAGGGTGCGACCGGGAAAGGTTTCCCGCGGCCCTTCACATTGCTGGCCGGCGTGGCCATGGTGGACAATGTAGCCTTGCCTACAGTACTCTCGAGCGCCGAAGAACGGACCACCGAAGAACGGCCAGGCTAGAATTTCACCAATTTTTAAGAACGGGCTAGGCTGTATTTTTGCAGATAAGAATGAAAACCATAATGTACACTCAGACATACATGTACATGTAGCACTCTGCATACATGTACATGTATGACTGTACAGGTGGAATCCTGATAATTTGAACCTCAAAATGCCAGGAAAAAACTTCTAAATATCCGGACATTCTAATTATCCAAACATGAACCCACAACACAATATGTATGTCAAAATGCTCAAATGGTCACGCAGAGTTGCGCTATGGACCTTAGACACATATTTCACGGATACTGAGCTGACCGGCACAGCCTGCTCATGCAAACTGAACTGACCAGTACAATGTACAGTGAACTTCGAATTACACTTTGCCAACTTCGAATTAGGCGCTGCATCTGCCGCTAGGGTTTACCGGGTGTTAGCGGCCGTCGTGAGTTCCCTTCGGGAACGGACACGATAATTTACTTTTTTTCTTTTCTTTTTTTAACTTCGAATTATCAGCACAAATCCCACACCTTTTCTATGTAAGTGGAATCTTCTGTGGGACTTCTAATTAACCGGACATATCTAGTTCAAGGTTCGAATTATCAGAAATTGTTATGTGGGAATCGTTTAGATAGTAATCAGTCCTGGAAAAACTTCTAATTAAGCAGTATGTTCGAATTAAGCCATATTCGAATTATCAGGATTCCACCTGTACCATCGAATAAGAACGAAACTGCTGTGTTCGCTAAAAATAAGAACGTGCTGGGCTGGAACCCTGACTCCCCCAGTTCTTCGGCGCCCGACAGTACTGTGCAGAATATCGGGGTCACCAATTTAGGGTTTTATGTCGGGCCCTAGACGACGGCTGCAATGGCCAACCGGACAACAAGGAAGTTGAGGCCAAAGAGAATGATTTACTTGAAGTATTTCTTGTGCATGTTTTTGTGTAGGTGTGACGTAATAGTGAGAGTCAGGCCGCTACGGGTACTCCCCCGCCAGCACATCGGGGTCACCAATTTAGCAAATTTAGGTCTGCGCCTGCTAAGGGGGCGCGTGAATCGGGCCACTTCCTGGTCACAACGGACACTTGCACAGTTAGCGGCAATGATTACTTTACACGTTACAGTTAGAAAGATTCGGCAGACGACATAGGAGTCTCCTACGTCCCTGATGATGCCCTCCTGGGTGAAAATTTGGACAATTTATATGTACTGTAGAGGAAGAAAATTTCGTCGGTCAATAATTTCGTCCAACTCCTAAGAAAGGGAGTTCGTCCGGTTGAAAATTTCGTCCATGGATCATAATAGTGTATAGAAAAGCTGGACAAATCGACATTAGTCCGGCACTTAATTTAGTCCAAAAGTTCCTTGGACGAAAAAGACGAAATTAAATTCCAGACGAATATTTCTGCTTATACAGCACTGTACGTGGTGTAGCCAAGGACAAGTCGACTGTTTGTGGGTTGCGAGTTGGGTGTACTGAAAATATGACAAGGCTACAGTGGAGTTTCAAAGTTCTTAAAAAAGGAGACTACATCTGAACAAGAAGTAAGTACAGGGGCAAGGAGCCATAAAAACTTTAAAAAGGTGCTTCGGAAAGGTCCGAGCAGAGAGACTATCTGGAAGAGAAAGTAAGCTAGCTTTCGGCAATCGTATGCAGAAGTGAGGTTCGTTATCCCGCACGGTACGGCAATATGCTTATGGTACGCTAGGTCAAGTGCTTTCAAAAACATTGCGGAAATTGGAGCGTGGACAGCACAAAAGCCACGTGGGTGACTTTGAGAATTATGACGTGGCAAGTCGTTGCACGACAAAAGCTTGAGAATTCTGCATGTCTTTGTTGGTGGTCAGCAAGCAGGTGGTTTCTATTTCTTCTGATGTAGGTGGTAATTACCTGGTCAGGGTTCTATGGTGTAATGGTTAGCACTCTGGACTCTGAATCCAGCGATCCGAGTTCAAATCTCGGTAGAACCTTATTTTTTTCTCTCGCGCCCCGTGTCTGCCCTGATAGTTTTGTGAACTTTGGCTGAAAGCTGTGATGTGTTCTTATTTGTTTTGAATATTTTGTGTGCGTGTTTGTGTTTTGTTGGCTTAGTGATGAATCATCAGTTTGTAATAATCATTTGCAAGTGGCTGTATGGCTGGCATGTGCGACTGAGGTAAGAACACACTGTACATCTAATAGCCGGTGCAAACTGACATGTTTTGCTTTGGGTCCGCTGTGTAGTGTTTCGCTGCTGCACACAACCAATGCCTATGCGGCCTTGTGTTCCATTGCTGTATCCATCATGGAACATCCCTCCCATCCGCTGCTAAAATGAAGTCGGCGGAGCGTCTGCCCTTTGACTATACTTATGCAGTTGCTTGTTGATTTATGCACAGTATTCACTGTCCAAGGCGTGTGCCTCATAAGATAGGACATCGCGGTGGACAACAGCTGGGATTCTAATAGTTCCTGCTTATCTCGGCTGTGCTTCAGCTCTCTGAATCACATTCGTTTTGCTGGAGAAAAAGCCGGGATATGGCATATGACGTCACCATTTCAAAAAAGTGACAAAAAAGTAATAATATTTTCACTAAAACTCGTCCAAAGGGTGCCTGGTAGAGGGAAGTGCCCTTAACTTCAGTGTTTGGATAACTGAGGTGCTATGGGTGTAGATGTCCTTGCTAAGCCATTAGTACTTTCTGTTTGATTGCTCTATGTTGTGCCCTCTTTGCCTGCCCTGCACATGCCAGACGGTCCGGGAAGACAGCCTGCCAGAATGGGTAAGTCGAGCTCATTGCATGCTTGCACATCCTTCACCACCTGGACTACTACATGTACCATGCTGTGCCATCAACAGCTAATGTTCCCTGTGTAGGTGGATGGAGAATGTGTGTAGTGAGAGACTACTAACGTTACATCATTACTAGAGAAATAGTGTGTACATGGTTGTGTACACTGCCCGGGAGGGGGGGGGGGGGGGTACAGGGTTGTGTACACTGCCCGGGAGGGGGGGGGGTACAGGGTTGTGTACACTGGGGGGGGGGGGGGTACATGGTTGTGTACACTGCCGGGGGGGGGGGTGTACACAGGGGGGTACAGGGTTGTGTACACTGCCCGGGAGGGGGGGGGGGGTACAGGGTTGTGTACACTGGGGGGGGGGGGGGGGTACATGGTTGTGTACACTGCCGGGGGGGGGGGGGGCGTACAGGGTTGTGTACACTGCCCGGGGGGGGGGGGGTACAGGGTTGTGTACACTGCCGGGGGGGGGGGGGGGGGTACAGGGCTGTGTACACTGCCGGGGGGGGGGGGGGGGGGTACAGGGTTGTGTACACTGGGGGGGGGGGTACATGGTTGTGTACACTGCCCGGGGGGGGGGGGGGCGTACAGGGTTGTGTACACTGCCCGGGGGGGGGGGGGGGGTACAGGGTTGTGTACACTGCCCGGGAGGGGGGGGGGTACAGGGTTGTGTACACTGGGGGGGGGGGGGTACATGGTTGTGTACACTGCCCGGGGGGGGGGGGCGTACAGGGTTGTGTACACTGCCCGGGGGGGGGGAGGCCTACAGGGTTGTGTACACTGCCCGGGGGGGGGGGGGGGTACAGGGTTGTGTACACTGCCGGGGGGGGGGGGGGGTACAGGGCTGTGTACACTGCCGGGGGGGGGGTACAGGGTTGTGTACACTGGGGTGGGGGGGGGGGTACATGGTTGTGTACACTGCCCGGGGGGGGGGGGGGTACAGGGTTGTGTACACTGCCCGGGGGGGGGGGGGGGGGGCTACAGGGTTGTGTACACTGCCGGGGGGGGGGGGGGGGGCACAGGGTTGTGTGCCGGGGGGGGGGGGGGCTACAGTACTGCCGGGTGCCGAAGAACTGGAGGGGGGTCAGCCTCCTAGCCTAGGCCGTTCTTATTCTCACATACTACACAGTCTATGCACAGTTGAGTCGCAGTGTATACATTGGTATACTGTGCTTGGTGAGATCCTAGCCTGTTTGTTCTCCGGCACCTGACACTACTGTACTACTTCGAAGTAGATGTCACCACTAGATTAAAACTAGGTAACTGTGCTATGGCGCGTGCAGTGATTGGGTTGGGCAGCTGACAGCATGCATTGCTAACCGCTGCATACCTTTGTATATACTCCACCGGTGCAAGCATGCTCATTGCCGGTACCCTAGTCGGGGTACGGGCTGAGTGTGGGTTCTTCGCCGTTCACTGTGTCCGTACCCAGATGGAATGCATGCTGCTGCTGCTGTCTGCCGTTTTAGGCGCATACCAGTACAATGTCATGTATGTAGACTCCAGTGCCTGTACTATACTAGTACTACATGCCCTCTATTCTTGCTCAAAGCACATGTGCCTGCAATGAAACATGCTTGATGGACAGTAACATTGTTTACTGGAAGAAAACGCGACCGTGCGCATTTTGTATGCTTTCGTTTTGTCTCAAGAATCCTGGATGCACACTGTACTCGGGAAACTGGTATTAACATGTATGTAGCACGAATGATGTGCCTTGAAGAGACAAACCTTGATTAGCACAGAGGGAGGGAGGGAGGGGGGGGGGGGGCTTTAAACCTGTTTGATGGCAGTATCCATACTCTAGCAATACCTGTGTGATTGTGATTTCGTCATTACTCTTTTTTAGTGGTGAAACTAATATTCGAATATTCGAACATTCGTTCAGTTTGTCACATTCGAATATTCGTTAAGTCACATTCGAGTATTCGTTACGTCACTTCAAATGCAGTGCCTGTACTTACATGCACGCCGAACACGGTGCAGTGCGTACAGCCTGCCTGTGACTTTGTACTGTATGCATGCACATGTCCATACTGGACTGCCAATGGTGCACATAACATGTATGAACTTCGAAGTAGCCTTATGTGGCAGTACATTTTATGTGGCACTACCGTTTGTCATACCTAATAATAATGACAGTATCCATCTAATGACTGGGAGGAGGGCATGTGATGTCATCTCTGTTACCAAAAGAATATTCGTTCATTCGTTCGTTAAGCCGAAGAATATTCGGCTAGTACTAAGTAGGTTTTGACATTCGTTTCACCACTACTCTTTTTCCCCATGTTTTATGCCGGTGGTTGTGAGACTTATTCCCTGGCCCCCCACCGCTCGGCGCTGCATCTGCCGCTGCTGGATTTCCCCGAGTGTTAGCGGCCGTTGTGAGTTCCCTCAGGAACAGACATGATGAGTAACTGTCTTTCTATCGTTACTTTACTTTTCCCCCCACAGGCCAGTGCTGCACAGCGTGCTCGCAGAGAGCTGACCAGGCGGCGTGCAACAACCCTTCTCAACGCCGACAATGCTGGCACAACCACCGGCAAGGCAACCAACACTCACATACTGTGCACTGCGTCGCGGCCTGTCGCCAGTCGTGGTCAGTCACTAGCAAGAGTCTGCACCCCCCCCCCCCCCTCCCCTCCCTCCCCCAAAAGTGTGCAACTGCTTGCATTTTTCTACGCACGTCTACAATGGCAGCAGGGTTTCACATCACGTGACATGGCAGCAGGGTTTCACATCACATGACATGGTTCAATACGAACCACATCACATGACATGGCGGCAGGGTTTTCACATCGCGTGACGTGGTTCGATTCAAAACAGTAGGGTATGTGAGTGAACACTGAACAGTGCAACGTTACGTCCAGTGAGTTGTACCCAGAAGCAGAGTACATGCACGACATCATACTATAACTAGACGTATCATGGGACAGGGTGCACTGATGATTTTGTCATGTGATGTGATATACTGCCGTCGCACTACAATTGCATACTTGTTTTTTTCTGTCTCTCTGTCTGTCTGTCTCTGTCTGTCTCTCTGTCTCTCTCTCTGTCTCTCTCTCTCATTCTGTCTCTCTGTCTACAGCAATTACTTGTAATCTATGTATCCATCCATCTATCTGCGCTGACGAGTTCACAAAGGACGAAACATGAACCATGTTGTCCGCATATTGAGTATCTACATGTATCTATTTATCTCTTCGCGTTTGCTCTTAGATGCCACACTGAACGCGGCTAGTTGGCTAGTGACATTCTACTATGATAGGAAAGAAGTACTGCAGGCTGCTCTCTCGGTAAGGCATCCTTGGTGCGTTGATTACCAGCTCACATGCTCTATTGACTATGGTGTGAAACCCTCACTCACATCGCACTTTCATATTCAACAATCAGCACTTGATATTCACTTGATCCTGTTTCAGAATCAGTAGACGCTTGATCTTTCTGACCAAAAGATGAAGCTTCTTCCTTGTACCACGGTATCACTGTGTCCTCGAGAAGATGTTGGCAATGAGCGAACAGAAATATTTGTGTCTGTAATGCAAGCCTGTGTAGACCTTTCGGAAGTTTTGAATTACTTGCAATATTCTGCATATCTGCAGGTGTACGAGACCATGGGGGATACAGCATCGCAGGCTGTGATCAAGAAGCTGGCTCGGTCCAGCAATCGCCAGCAGACGGTGGCATCTCTGCCAAGTAGACAGCATTGCCTGGCTTGCCGAGAGGGTGAGAAGAACCGCAAGTAGAACTGAACTATGCGCTGGTGACTAAGACCAATATGGCTCAACAGGGCATTGGGCCTGGGGATAGGGGCTGATTTTCTACTATCAATTCCACTTCTTTGCCCATCCTACAGGCATGTTGAAACATGTCCTGGTGCAACGGGGATTAGAAAACGAACGCCCAAGCTTTGTATGACGGTTTGCATTCATAGCAAAGCTGGCACTTGTTTATGCCAGGGTCTCTTTTTGCTAGGTTAAATTACACAAATAAATACACGCAAAACACACATACCCACACACACACACACACACACATCTTCTGGTTGTTGGTGGCAAGCAGGTGTGTCATGAAATACAATATCATACATGTACTACAAGTGTTTGTAGTGTTACCACATGTACAATTTGTTTGTGCTGCTGCTGTTGCCGCTGCTGCTGTTGCCGCCGCTGCTGCTGCTGCTGTTGCTGCTGTTATTGCTGCTGCTGTTATTGCTGCTGCTGTTGCTGCTGCTGTTACTGCTGCTGTTGCTGCTGCTGTTATTGCTGCTGTTGCTGTTGCTGCTGCTGTTGCTGTTATTGCTGTTGCTGCTGTTGCTGTTATTGTTGCTGTTGCTGTTGCTGTTGCTGCTGCTGCTGGTGTTTGTAGGCATTCAGTGCAGTAGAAGAGGAGGAACGGCGCAGTGCAGTCGTGGTCATATATGGAGTGAGTGTGCATGACAATAAGATCAGGATGTTTCCAAGGTTTAGGCTCTAGGCTGTCTTAGTTTCTTATATCCCAGACTATATGACTGTGATTGCCTTGACAGTAGCTTCAGGCAGTGACTTTAATCCCTCGCACGAGACGCTGATTTTTGGAAACAAGTTTATACTTCCGATGGGAGAATCCGACATGGTAGTGCATTTCGGCGTGGCCAGGTCAAATTGTAGAATATCGCATCGAGTGAATTGCTTTATCTGAGAGAGGAGATGTTCGTGCCCTTGAGACCCGAAGTCCCGTTTACATACGGCAAAATTTAGGAGCTCTGCGCTCAGCGCTTTTTCAGGGTATGAAGTTCGGGTTGTTCTGGTCGGATCGCAGCGTCGCGGACTATTCCATCGTCTTCAGAGTCGAAAAACTACTGGCCATGTGAAATTACAAGGCGGTGAGACGCTTTCGTCTTCCTCTACGAGCGAATTTGTTCTGCGCCAGCATACCAAAGTATGCAATTTCGTACGCGCAGTTCGAGTGACGAGGCGTGTGCACTGTACACTGTACTGCATGCACTGACTGTGCGGTCGTTCTCGATTCTCCCATCACTCCCATTCATTTCTCTGTTTCCAGCAAAAGTCCAACTTGGCGCACTTCAAATCACTATAACTCAAGAATGGCTGGGCCGATTTGAATAATACTTGCAGATTTCCTATGTACTACGCCTGGGAGAATCGAATGAGACCAAAATCGAAGCGATCGGAGCAAGTTTTGAAAATAATTGGGTGTAGTCACTACTTCACGCCTTGTAGCAGAACAATGTACGACCATGATGAATATCCCACACGCACAGCACTCACAGTGCACCCGGAGTGAGTGATCGCATTTCCGAATATGTTTTGATCGTTGAGGACTAAAACCGTGGCTATAGGAAATTCCGGACCGAGCTAAAGTGGTTGGTTTAGTGATTAGTGAGTTGGTGACCGATGTTCCACTTTACTTGGCAAACACAGTAACTGACGCGTGATATGTTGTGTGCTGCCTGTACCTGCTTCTGTCTGCTATTGTGTTGTCACCGCCGTTGCTGTTCACGCTGGTACAACGCTGCTACTTTACTGCTGCTCCCTGCTCCTGTGCCGTGACTTTCTGTCACCAACATCACCACTAACACCTCGCCACCACCTCCACCTCCGCCGCTGTAACCGCTGCTCCGGTCATGATGGTGTTCACTGCTATTGTAGGCTGCTGCATGAGCTGTCTTTCAGTTCTGGATGGTATGACGGACAAGGACAGCGTCACTTGTTCTCACTGCTTCTCACAGTACTGCTGCGGCATTGTGTTAGGTGAGTGTGTGTGTGTGTGTGTGTGTGTGTGTGTGTGTACGTGTGTGTGTGTGTGTGTGTGTGTGTGTGTGTGTTACTATTAGCCACTGACCCTCAAGCTTGACACGTTCCTCTGTGTGTGTACGTGTGTTGTTATGATGGCATTGCAATGTTGGCCTGTGATATCTGACCATCCGACCCTCGGGTTGAACACAGTGTTATGAGTTGCTCGGGGGTGCATCTTCCGATGTAAGCATTGAGGCGAACTCCACAGCTACCCATAGCTTATGTATATTTTAAAAGCTGTGTTCACAACTGGCACGGATACGTGTGAAACCACGCGTTTGTGCGTATTTTGCTGGCGTTTGGGGCGTTATGCGTATGGAAACGTGCCGAAATGGAAATTCCAACATGTTGTATTTTTCAGCGCGTACCGGCGTACATGCCAGTTGCTTTGACTTGCAGGGTCAACAAATTAGTACTCGAAGGCGTCGCACGCCCTAAATACGACGCTACCTGCTGTTTTTGTGAACGCCTGAGCACGCGTTTGGGCACGCATGAACCGCAAGCGCACCGTGTCCACCCGTCAGTTGTGAACACGGCTTTAGGCTGTAAGATGGCATTGTAGGCTGCTGAAGATGTGGTGTTGAAAACGATGCACCGGACACTGAGGGCTGGATTTCACTGCCCTCCACTCTGCCACTGCAGTGTTGTACATGTATATACACCGGCACCGTGTCAGAATTGGAAAAAAGTTCAAAAAACCTAAACATTTTACTTAGTTTGTGCTCGCCATCATGACGTGGTGCTGGTGCTGGTACTGGTGCTAATGCGGTTGCTGTTCACTTCTTCCTGTCATAGGTGACACATGTTTGCTTTGTGGCGGAGACGTTTCATAGGTACTGCTGCTACTTCTGCTGTTGCCCTTGCTTCTGGCTGGTGAGTTGATGTGTGTGTGTGTGTGTGTGTGCGTGTGCGCGCGTGTGTGTGCGTGTGTGTCTTGGGTTTAGTTGTTGCTGCAATGGCAACAGCTCTGTTGATTTCAGGTCCTGCCCTCTGCTAAGCATTCTCGCAGGTGCCACTGGGGCCATAGAGAATCAGCTTGGCATTGAGAGCCACAGAGAGTCAGCTTGGCATTGAGAGCCATAGAGAATCAGCTTGGCATTGAGAGCCATAGAGAATCAGATTGGCATTGAGGGCCATAGAGAATCGGATTGGCATTGAGAGCCATAGAGAATCAGCTTGGCATTGAGAGCCATAGAGAATCAGCTTGGCATTGAGAGCCATAGAGAATCAGCTTGGCATTGAGAGCCATAGAGAATCAGCTTGGCATTGAACTGCCCATACGTTGACGTTCACACCATGCCACTATAGTAGTATGAAGACGACGTTACAATGTAGGAAGTAGTTGTGCCAAACCCAGCCAGTAGAATTGTGTACATTGAAGTATAGCTACTCACAGCCGCGGGTATGGAACAGTGTGAAACTCTGGATGTCATTCTCACCGCACACGCTGCTCGTCAAGGAGTAACTAGATGAGACTGACATGAAACGTGTGTAAGGCTGAGGCTTTCTAATTACGGCTGGCTTTGATTTCGATGAAACTTGATTCTCGTCCTTCGAATCGATAATGTACTGAGTGTTCGGTGCTTGATTCCATCATTCCCACTGGCATGCACTGTTTCACACTGTTTCGTACAGCTGTGTGCTCAAGTCAGTCTGAGCTTGCCCACATGCTAAAGCTATAATGCCTATGATTGAAAGGCAAGAAAGGTTAGGATACCGTAAAAGTCCGTAAATAGGTACGTATTTACTTTCGAATTTAGTGACCACACCCGAACTAACTTTCGGGCGGGTATTGACTTTCGGGCACGAACTAACTTTCGGGCCTGACTTGTGTGTAGTGGAGAAGTTATTTTTATGTAGATGTACATGCTACATGCTGCATGTGCGCACCGTACCGGTACTTATTTCGGGCAGTATGTTTCTCAGGCTTGACTTGACCTCAGCGAGCCAAAATCGCAAGTCGACCGACACTGTACATATGACATGTACATGCATGCGATTTTCGTCGTCCAGCATAGCAAGCTGTGTTCGTTTCAGAGGGAGGGGAGGGGTCCGAGTACGAAATGAACGATGTTCGTTTCCGGGACGACAGAAAACTTTCGCGACAACCCCTTATTACGGAGGTTTAGCATCACTAATTTCGCATTAAAGTTCACAAACACGCTTCGGCTCGCGAATAAACTGGAATGCTAAATTTCGCACTTTTCATTCGGAAAAGCAGTCGAGACATGAATTGCAGATCCGTCTCAGGACAGCTGTGAATTTACTACATTCTACTGTCTGTACACATGTACGTGTCAATGTCGTGCCAGCGCCAATTCTGTTTACTAATCCTCATTACAACACGGAGTCACTGAGTTCGACTTCCATCGGAGTGCAAACTCGAGCGCGGAATTCATCTTGCTCCATTTCTGTACTATCTTCACATAATGTGAAGAGAAGAGAAGAGAGAGAAGAGAAAGAGAATAGAGAGATATTATCTCTTTCTCTCATTACTGTTGTTTGATGATCGCTTTGTGCGTGAAACTCTGAGTTACAACGTAAATCTTCCTCTGCATCTTGTTGTAAGTACAGTCAGACCTCGCATAACCGCACACATCCGTTTTCCACAAAAATATCCGGATAGGCGAGGGAACCGGATAATCGAACACACATACTGTATGTAAGCATGGCATATGCTGTACATTTGTAACCAACTATTTTCTTCCGGATGGCGAGGGATCCGGATAAACGAGGACCGGATAAGCGAGGTCTGACTGTAGCTCTGCCCTTGGGCATCGAGTACTCTACTGGACTGTCTGGAACCGTCTTTCTGTTCTATCTCTTTGTTCTCCTCTGTTTGCCTTGTTCAGACTCCTCACAGCGCCGGCACATTCACACACTCGTGCAAACATGTGTGCACAGCGCCTGCACTGTGCTATTGGATCTCTGAGAGGGAGGGAGAGAGAGAGAGAGAGAGAGAGAGAGAGAGAGAGAGAGAGAGAGAGAGAGAGAGAGAGAGAGAGAGAGAGAGAGCCAGTGTACGACTATGCAGTGTGCGCACTCATCACTCCCTGCTGTGCCTGCTGATGTGGCTATTGGTAGTATCCACGCAAGTACTTGTACAAGTACACCAGTCTCATCACTGGATGCTCTCGTGTACCAGATAGCATATAGGAGATAGCATATAGCAGAATTTGCTACAACCCTCCCCCCCCCCTCCCTGGCTTTCCAGTTTGCATCTGTCGGCTTGTAGTGAACGGTGTCATGTTTGAGATGTAACCAAGCGCCTCTGTTCTTATTCAAGGTGGTGTGAATGCCAGCGGTCACGTGTCTTGTCTTCTTTGCTCCCTCCATTTGGCGCGCTTACTCCTTTAAAACTGCCGACTAGATAGCCTTTTGCAGTGAACTATTGTATGTGAATTATTTATTGAGCATGCTGTGTGTAATAATAACGATGAAAAGTATGAATGCCGCAGACATCACCACGCAACATGACAATTTGTTAGAGATGTGAAATTGTGTGTTTCCAGAATCGATTTTCAAGCTCCGATCATCAGTGGAAATTCGGAACTAAAGTGATCAAGTGAAAAAACAAAGGTTACAAATCAAATTAAATGTGACAAATGACGTCGTGTAAGTATTACAAGTGAGGCAAAGATGATAGGAGCTTGAAAATCGATTCTGGAAACACACAATTTGAAGCCTGTAACAGATTGTCATGTTGCGTGGTGATGTCTGCGGCATTCGTACTTTTAATAGCTATTATTAAACTTTTATCTCCACGTACATGTAGATTATTTGCATACTGTGTGTACAATTATGTTGTGTATGGGAGTGAGTGGGGTGAGTGAGCGAGGAAGACTGGCGTATTGCGCCCAGTAGTTGCTCTCCCACCTATTTCTTTACTCCATTGGGACGATCAGTACTGAAGTACTAAAATAATTTACAGTACTCCACATGAGTGCATGAAACTCCGAGTTGAGTTATTTCCACACACTGTATTTCCACTGAACCTCTTAGCCGTATCTGTCCCCGGGGAAAATCGCGGAAGAAAAGCTCAAAATTCATGGCACAATCTGCGTTCAATATTGGCCAAATTCACAGCAAAATAGCGGGGAATTTGCTACAGTTTGTTTGGTAAATTACTCAATTTGCCAGTGGAATGGCCAATCTAGTGGTTTGCCTGGTTGGGGGGGATGAGACACAAGACAGATATCAACACTCTCATGCAAATGCAAGCGCTGCAACTACTTTTTTTTGTAAATGTACATTTTACTGAAGTAATGCCGGTCAAAGATATACATGTCCATTCGCATGAGTGCATACGTGCTCGTAATCAACAATCTGCTGAACAAGTAGCTACTGTAGTGGCTGGCCGGGCCCTGCAGCTTAGCAGTACTAGACTGCTCAGCATCTACACTGCAAGTCATGTATCTACATGTAAACCCAACAGCTAAGAATGATGTGTGAGATCTCATACAGCCAACTATCCAGCATTGAAATCGGATACGCTTTTGGCTTTTGCAAGTGAATCAATGTTAATATACATGTAGCAGAAACAGGGATCTGAATGTGACAAGTCATGCGATACCTGTCTTTCTTATATCAAGTCATTCATGATGCATGTGTCAAAGGAAATACATGCGAATGCCTGTAGCGCTGTAATACTGTGATCACCAACCGGCTTCAATAGGGTCTGACCACCCAGGACTGCAGGAGTACTGCAAGAAGGTTTAACCAGGCCCGGTGTATATGTGAAGGCGTGTGTGTCGTCTTCACAGTGAATCATCAATCTGAGAGAGTTGGGAGTACTGGACAGGTGGTGAGCCGCCACCGCCATAATGCGATCCAGATCTCTGGTAATGCATCAATATCCGAAAGAATGATGCTGCAATCACTAATGCCTGTATTGGAATACATGCACCACCACCACCACAATCACCAGCAGCCACAGCAGCAACAGTGGCAGCAGCACCAACGGCACAATACAAAGGAGATAACGTCTACATGCAACATGATCTAACCCGACGACAAGAACAACGACGACGGAAGGAGTTAGTCCCGAAGTTTCGCGCTCTTCGAGACAAGGGTGTAAGATGCCACCTCCCCCGCGACAAAATTATCAACAATGGTGCACCGCTGTCATCGGATGACATCACCCGTCTCCTCAACACAGTCACCCAATAGGATACTGCCAGGGCATCCCCTCAAATGTCAACACGAAAGCTAGGTATCGCTCACCTTAATGTATGTAGCCTGTATAATAATTTACATGAAATTGAAGCACTCATGCTGCATGCTCACGATTTAGACATATTAACGTTAACGGAAACGTGGCTATCCGACAGTGTACCTGACATATGTATCACAGTACCTGGATACACCATGCATAGACTTGATCGGAATTCAAAGAGAGGAGGTGGTGTCAGTATATACGTAAGAGAAGACTTAGATAATCGAGCACTACATCACTCCTCTCCCATCGAAGCCCTCGCAGTACACGTGAGCATTCACCCCCAGACACAGTTCACACCAGTCACTGTTCCACAAGTCCGACTCCATATCCAGAGAATGAACAGTCGCAAAGCCACAGGACCTGATAACATCCCTGCCCAGGCCTACAAGTTCATCAAAGATGAGATTGCCCCATCATTAGCCAAACTATTTCCCATGTCCCTTACATCTGGCGATTTTCCATCGATTTACAAACTAGCAAATGTGCGGCCTATTTACAAGCGTGGGGATAAGTCAGTCCCATCCAACTATAGACCAATATCACTTATGCCCCACATGTCTAAGCTACTGGAACATATTCATGATATTGTACACAACCAACTAATCAGGCACCTTGTGGAGCGGCTGCTTGCTGCCACTGCATCACCCGCATGGCCAAGCCGACTGGCATCTGCAGACAGAGTTGGAAGGCTGTCGGTTAGCACTACGGAGATGTGTTGAAGCTAGGTGTCAGGACGTCGAATGTCTCAGTACTCTGTCAGTTTTGTGCCTAGTTATTGCACTTTCTGACTGTATAATAGTATCTGGTTACAGTGATGGAGAGTTACTTTTAACTCGTATCCATGTCCTTTTCCTTTCTACATTTATTTATGGCTCAACATCCGAGTTTCAAATTGCACACCTGATGAGCCGTCACGAACCATACGGCGAAACGTACGTTGTGTGAAACAACTTGTTTCGTAGTCAACTAGTCCATCACAATGTCATGCATGAGGAGTACTGTAGGAGTTTGGCTTTCGGCTTGTACCATTCGTTCTCGCAAAGCTTCCCATTTCTATACTTATCTTTGATATTTATGACCCACCCAAGTTGGGTGGTGTGCTGCTTTGCTGCTTCGAATTGTAATAATAATAATAATAATAATTTTCAATGTACGTGATGACATGCGATTGCTGGCCATGTTTCCTTCAGACCAGCAGAGAAGAACGCAGGTCCCATGTTTACAGTTCAGAGCAGCAGAGAAGAACGCAGGTCCCATGTTTACAGTTCAGAGCAGCAGAGAAGAACGCAGGTACTCACAATTTCACAATTTCCCTACTTGATGCTACACTTACCAGAGCGGAGGCGGTCGATGTAGCCAGTTTGATGACACGCTTAGCCGGGACGTTCTGCCTGTACCTGTCATTCCAGAGCCTCCACACGAAGCCATCAACATATTTTTCCGGTATGCACTCTTGCTCCTGACGATATGGGTAAATGTGGGCGCGTTGGCAATCAGTGTAGCGTGATTGGCGAGCGATGTCTTCACATCTGTCTACATTCTGTGCTGCCACATGGCTACTGACAGACCACACACACAGCAGTATCAGCATTGCCAGCATCTCAAGCGCCAGAAAGCCGCAGATTACGAACGGCGGCTGGCTGTACATGGGTAGTTTCCTCTTCCAGCGTGCTGTCTGTATGGCCATGTAACACTCCCTTAACCAGAAGACCAGAAGTAAAGCGATGCTTGCTCCAGCAGTTGACATCATTGAATCACAAAGCATGCTATTCTTGCCAAAGTAACACTGGCCATAGTCAATACGCTTGTTTTCTGCAGGTGCACCTATCCACGGACATTGCCAGTTGGTATTTAATGTTGCCGGTCGCGCATGCATGCGATCTCGTACGGTATGTCCATACGGGCGTCGGTGCGCTGCATGCCTCCCCCATCCATTGGGAGAAGCCCGCTGCTGGGCATACTGCCCGTAAGCAGGATAAGCTGCTGTGTTTGTCGGCTGCAGGTAAGCTCCTTCTCCCTCTGCCTCTGGGTCGCTAAAGGGATTGCCCTGCTTGGGCGGATCGTAGCGCCGGACTCTGCACACTGCCACGGTATATTTCATTGCCCATCTTTGACGCGAGCCGAGATAAGACAGTGTGGACAGCGCTAATGCCTGCAAGTACAGAGAATATGACCATGGCCATGGCGGTAGCACCACCACCACCACCACCACCAGCACCACCAGCAGCAGCAGCAGCAACAGCAGCAGCAGCAGCAACAGCAGCAGAAGCAGCAGCAGAAGCAACAGCAGCAACAGCAGCAGGAGCAGAAGCAGCAGCAGCAGCAACACAGATGTTACCACACGGAATTCAAAGTTCAGTGTGACAGTGCATACAAGCGGCAGCAGTACAGGCCGAACATTTGTTGCGGCCGAAATGGGTTTTAGCCCTGGGAGGCGGAAATTTGAATGTGCCGACAATTTGTCAACTTACAGTATGTCTAAGGGCCGGGTTCCACTGCGGCTCCGCTGCCCCGCTGCTCGTCTTTCGCGGCTTGAAACGTCATCATTACCATAGTGACCGCGGCTCGAGCTGGAGCAGCGAGGCCGCGGCTCACCGCGAGCTTTCGCTACGATTCTTGATCAAAAACTGGGAGCCGCGGTCGCGGCTCGACCTGTTTCCCGCACTTTGCATTGTTTTGTACGGGAGAATTTTAGAATTCAAATTTTTATTCGTTGCACAGGCCAGAACACGAGGATTTTTTGATTTCGCGCGTGGAGGCAGGTAAAACGTCATCAAAAAAAGTGGAGCACGACCGCGGTACCGCGAATGGCGAGTGTCAGTGGAACCACGCTGCTCCGCTGCATGCAGCCAAGTGCCGCGGAGCAGCCGAGCAGCGGAGCCGCAGTGGAACCCGGCCCTAACATAGCTGTTTGCTATCATCGCTTCTGCAAAGGGCAGGAGTATGAGTGTGTGTGCCACGGTGTGTGTGTGTGTGTGTGTGCACGTGTGTGTGTGTGTGTGTGTGTGTGCATGCACGTGTGTGTGTGTGTGTGTGTGTATGTGTGTGCCAGCTAGTTCGGTTGGTGGGTAGAGTAGACGGTTCGATACCGGAACGCCTTGACAGCCAAATTTGTTTATACCCAAACCGATCATCAGCGTTGATTTTTCACTCGACATATGTTTGTGGAAGGAAACTGGCATGTTGAAGTTTGCTCTGGGGCCAGAGTCAATCGAACTGAGCCACTCCTTTGTGTTGACCCATTGCCTCCAAGTTGCCCAATTTTTCGCTTCAAAAAAGTTCAAATCAGAGGTGGCTCCAAACCGGACACGTTTTAGAGTGCACGTCAAATTCACTCTGGGTCTGAAATTAGGTAATTGCTATCGCTCCACGACGGCCAGTACAGAGTAACAATAAGCCTTGTGTGTGCTTCCATTAGTTTTGATTGGTATGCGGTGCTTTATTGGCGAGAGGCGAGCTGCTGTTTACCTGCGACAAGAAGTTGATTTTTCGAAAGTCGTAAAACTCAAGTCGCAGTGCGAAGCAACACGTCAAAAACTCACCTGCTTGGTATGGCGCTTCTGGTCATCGCAGAGCCATGAAATTTTGGCTCGGAGTATAACACATCATAGTCTCACTGTGACATATGTTTTCTAATCAAAATACCAAGAGAGAAAGTGAATATTGAGTCCGTTCCGGTTTGCAACCTGTGTCCTATTCGAAACCGTCGCCTCTACACTCATGCCTGATTGTGTTGGGTCTGTTGCCAACAGGCTCGGCTGCTTGAAGGTGTATTGTTGTATCTGCCACCTTTGTTGGTTTCAGGATTCATATACTTTCTATTTGAAGTATACATACCTGTTAACCATGGACTGCTTCTGGCTAGATTAACTCTTGGGCAATCAATGGTGCTAGTGACGCGTATATCAGATCCACTCTGATTTAGCCACCCCCACTCCCACTAGTAGCACAGGGGCGTCGGAAGGTATTTTAGTGTGGTACGGTCAGCCATCTGAAGTACAATTTACTCGTGGGGGAGGGATGGCTGAGCCGAAAATGTTGGGAATTTAGAGCCCAAATCAGTGCATTTTATTGATTCACGGGGTACGTGGGGCAAATAGTGGTACGGTCAATACCGTAGTGACAGTACCGTGTGCGCGCGACACCCCTGTAGCAAGTATTACCTTCACTGGGGGCAGGGGTAACTGTAGTTGTGGGGGCAGGGGTAACTGTAGTTGTGGGGGCAGGGGTAACTGTAGTTGGATCCCGGGACGGATGCCCCGATGCCGTCAATCCTTTCTCTGCACCTTGTCCTCACCCACTTACTGAGGTGTGGTGAGCCCATAAGTGGGATCATTTTCAAGTTCACCCAGAGGTTTGGGGATTTCAGGGGGTGTCGGCCGTTGGGCGGTTCAATAGCCAATTGAGTAATCTTTCCAAGATTCCTTTTGAGTCTCTCTCCCCTCTCCCGGGGAGACCCACGTGACCAGTTTTGGCAGTGAGCAACACGTACAAGTACAAGTATGTGTGTGTGTGTGTGTGAGCGTGTGTGTGTGTGTGCACATGCGTCACCGTCCATGTTGTGTGCGTATTGACGAGTTTCATGGATGACACCACGGGTACACACCCCTCCCTGCGGAAATCAATGCCATCATAATGATAGTAAAAAGCAAACAGTACTTGTGCATGCCCTAACCTATATCTTTGCGCTGCCAAGAGTAAAATAAACTAGGACTCTAGTCGGTGTGTGTATACTCGGTTGGCTAGACAAGTGCAGTAGTCTGTAGTCGCTAGGCTTACCAGACACACGGCACGAGCGACATGGTGCAGAGCAGCGGCTATTCGTATGCGCTTGCAGCATACACCATCGCTGTCCTCGATCACAGTGTCCTGTTTTCCAAACGCTGATGAGATCATTGTCCGTGAATGTTAATGTTCCAGCTGACTTCCTATATTTATACTGTCTTCACGAATACCACCCTTTTTTCCGACTTCGCTACGAGACTCGGGCTATATTCATTTACCAACATTAAAAGAATAATAATGATGAAATAGCCAGTGCAAGTGCCGCTAGCGCCTACATGCTGCTGAAGAACAACTAACGTTACTTGAGTCTTGGTAAAGACAAACGAAACAGTCTTCACAGCTAGCTAAGCAGCCGCATTGGCAAAATGACTGTCAGCGCCGCGTGTGCAACTAAATCACTTCAGCACGGTACGGTATGTACTACAATGCATGTCACTGAGGAATTTTATACAATAAAGATCTAGCTACATGACCGTGATAATTATTTTAATAATTATCACGGTCATGTAATATTTTTGTAGACTTGTTCATAATAAAGACATAAATCAGTCATACATAATGCAATGGTCCCCCTAGGACCCCCACACTAGATCTGGCCCATTCAAATATTAAAGTTAAACCACTTGAAGGATGCAGTAAGTACATGACTGTACTACTGTAGATCTACTACTAGTACGTATGTATTACCGCACAAGGACCAGTGCCGATATCTGCACGAACGGCGAAGCCGTAAGTGCAGATATCGACGATAAGGGCTTGAAAGTGCTACGTCACTCCATAGCAATGGCATAGCAACAATTTGAAAAATTCGAAAACTGGATCCACCTGGATCCAGTTTTTGTATGGATCCAAGCACATTTCAAGCAGTCTCACTCACAGCAAGGTGATGTTGCCAGTGAAACTGACTGATTTGGCTAGTGGGGGCGGGGTGACAACTGGTGGCAAAGTAAACATGGTAAAAGTTGCACCTGCATACGACATGAGTGGGTTGCTATGCACCCACATACTGAGGCAATAGCAAAGTCACACCTTAGTGGATCCAAAATAGAAATCTGATGTCAATTTACTACTCCCAGGCCGTTTTTGACGTCATCACTTTCAAGCGTCCGAGTGCAGTAATACATAATCACCCCTGCCACCACAGAGTCTGTCACCACACACTTGACACAGTCTGGTGCAACCCTAGCATGCTGCATGCAACCCTGCTATCATTTCACAGTCACACAACACAGCACAACCAGTCGCGTTCATTTTTAGAGGAACACTTCTTTCGAGCAGCACGGGAGATCCTGGAAGTAGCGGGACAGCTTGCTCATGTCGTCGTCGTTGATGGGGTGTTTGTGCTCCACCGCTTTGACTTCTCCCGCTTTCTTTGGCTTCATGAGGAAAGCCTTCAATGCAATGTTTGCGTCCTTGAACGCTGGGTCACTGTGGACGTTCATGGGCCGCTTCAACTCGACTAGCTTGCGATGTATTGCGGAACGGAAACCGAGCAAGCTTGATGCGCAGAGTAGAACTTCACTCCAGCTTTCTTCGGACGGAATTCGACGTATGCATGTCGCAGAATGTAAGCTAGGTCGCTTGCCGTAACCGTACTCAGGTCACAGCGACGTCCTGTGTCTTTACAATACTCGTCGAATAAGCGGAGCCATTTGTCAGTTGCCTGCTCTGTGTTTTTGTTTTTCTGCTCAGAAACGAGGCTGTCGATGGCGGCGTCGGACAGTTTCTCAAATCGGCTGTCGACAGTCTTCTCTTGGGCGTCTGCTTTCTCGACTCTCACGGAGCTTGTGAAGTTGACTTGGCGGACGCAAGCCGGGTCCACATTCGCTTCCGCGACAGCGTCCTCGACCAATTATTGTTTTGGTGTGCTGCAGCAAGTCGGCAGCCACTGCTTGGCGGAGCGACTCGCAATATTCCCCAGTACACCGCCAGCCAATGACCAGATGACTATGTGGATGCACTGCAGTGCGATATTGCACCCCGACGAGTGAGCGTGCAAATAACCTATATTTGCACGCTCACTTCGAAGCGAGCGTGCAAATAGGTTATTTGCACGCTCGCTTCGAAGTGAGCGTGCAGATAGGTTATTTGCACGCTCACTCGCCGGGGTGCAATATCGCACTGCAGTTCATCCACATTGGCTGGCGGTGTACTGGGGAATATTGCACGCTCAGTAAGGCCGCTGATTGGCTCAAACCATGGAGACACTCACGTGGGGTGCGATAAATGTACGTATAATGTAGTAGCCGAAGGATTACTGTAAATATACAAATTTTCGGCAGCTACTTAATTTCGGCTATTCGGCACCGACCCAAAAACGCCTAAATTAAAACGCCGATGAAATTTTTCACAGCATCTGTCGCACTGTACCATGCCCTCTACCCCACGCCGAAAATAAATCGCCGCCGAAATGTCAAAAAACGTGAAGTGCCGAAATTTTGCAGCGCCGAAATTTTGTATATTTACAGTATTGCAATAAATCCTAGAGATTAGAAGCGGTGAGGCCTCCTGCAGTTTCATACAGAATTACAGATGGAGCGGACTCGCTCCCTTCTATTTACACTGCAACGTTCGAACACATTTTCGTAGTTAAAACAACGTTTCGGCATATAGCCCTCATCAGGTTTGCAATGATGTGCACTCTACAAAGGAGCAGCAAATATACTGTGCCGTGCTGTGTTTGCGCTAAATGTGTCAGCTACAAAGGTGGCGAAAGGGATTGGTGATAATTATATTAATATCCAGATACGATATATTCACAGTAGTGCCCAGCCAGCATTAGTGTTTACTTGCGGCCGCAAGTTGCGGATTTCAACAGCTTCTCGCAGTTTTCTGCTTGCTCTGTCGCCTGCCCTTGCCAGGACTGACACAGCCGAGAACACACTATCCGCAGCAGCTATACTCTCGCCAGAATGTTTGTCGCGCACGTGGTCACCCCATGGCTTATCGAGAGTGCGACGGCGTGCCTCGCCATTGTGCTCCCGAATTCTTATTTCCAAGGAGCGTTCCGTCTCCCCTACATACGTTTCCCGGCACCATTTGCATTGCAATTCATAGACTACATTCTTTGTCATACATACTCGTTCGCCTCCAGACTGACAGGTAATGCAAGGCCCTAGTGGACGTCCTCTTCGTCTTTTTTCAGTAATGTTGGGCTCGTTTACGCACTTGGGTGGTAACAGCGCCGAACGGCACAGTTGACGCCTGAGGCTGCCCGAGTGCTCGTATACGACACGTACCGGCAACTTGTATTTCCGTATTGCTTTGTTCACATGGTGGTGTACTTCATCTGACTTGAACGGTAGTTTAAGGAAGGCAGAGCGAGGATTACCGCGTCGTCTACGCCGAGGTTTCCTGGCAGCTTCCCTTGCTTCCGATATGATACTGTCTGGGTAGTTATTTATGCGCAGTTGTTTGTGTATTTTTTGTTCGCTCTCGGCTTGCATCATGGGGTTAGACGATAGTCGCTGTGCCCTTAGGAATTGAGATTGAGCGACGGCTAACTTGATGTGGTGAGGAACTGCCGATGAATAATCCACCAGTAGGCCACTACTGCATGCCTTCTGGAACAATTTGAATGACAGCTCTCCGGTTTGCCCAACCGCGATCGTTACGTCCATGTAGTCTATGTAGCCACTGTCACAACTTAATTCATGCGTGAATTTGATACTTTGCTGCTCCTTTGTAGAGTGCACATCATTGCAAACCTGATGAGGGCTATATGCCGAAACGTTGTTTTAACTACGAAAATGCGTTCGAACGTTGCAGTGTAAATAGAAGGGAGCGAGTCCGCTCCATCTGTAATTCTGCAATAAATCCTGAGGCTACTATATCATTAAATTTTATTATACATATGTATGTTGATCTTCGCTTTCCCTAAAAAGGAGTATTTTATAAACAGTATTTATTGGCCCAAAAGCCAATAAATACTGTTTATAAAATACCACTAAGGCCAATAAATACTGTTTATAAAATACTCCTTTTTAGGGAAAAGTGCAGTGCTGCATGGAAAAGTACAGTGGTATTTATTGAGTCAAGCAAGTTTATTTGAATTTGATACTGTTGATGGTGTGGTCACTAATGAGTGTGGGTATTTATCAAAGGTCAATATATTACTATTAGTAGATCTAGTAGTACAGTACTACAGTGCATTTCAAAACTATAGACGCGTAGGGGTTTTGAAATATTTCAAATTTGGCTGGAACTTTTTGAGAATAGTTTTCGGAATATTGCTCAGGATCGCTCCACAATTACTCTCATATAGTTTCTAAAGGATTGGATAACAGATGCCCAATTTGGAAAAAATTATGCACAAAGTGATCACAGATTTTATGTGGTATAGATGCTGGCATAACGGTTTTTGCCTAGGTACGCGTCTATAGTTTTGAAATGGACTGTAGTAACACTCCCTTAGGGGTCGTCCGCAATTATCGAAAGTTTTTTCCAATCCGTAGTAGCTTCGAAAGTGGGTGGGTGGGTCAAGGCCAGTTACGGATTGAAAAACTTCCGAAATGACACGTGCGCGTGCCACGTGTACGTCTACGTGTAGCCCCTGTTTTCCACGCGCGGCTGCGCGCGAACTGTCTACTACAAATATTTTTGTAGTTCTGGCAGTTTCTGCGCCCCCTTGGCTGCTCCTGGGCCGGGGATCATAAAGTTCGGCGCATTCGACGCGTCGACGGCGAGTCGACACTTTCTATTTTTGAGTTTCACTGTCTCCTTCGTCCAGAGTACCGTCTTCCATGCACTCCTTTGAAGTCCTTTCGTCTAGCGCTGGCGCTGACGACTGTTATTGACTATGTCCAGACAGGCGACGTTGTTTGGAAAGGCGGTGAAGAAGCAGCCCTTTTTCAAAACCGCTGGTGACTCTGATTATTACAGAACAATAAATTGCTTGTAGCAGTTGTCCAAGACGACGAACAAGGATGTATTCTTTGTTGTAATACAATACATGATGTCACTATGACTCATGGACCAGCACTGATTGAGTTTGTTCCATATCATAATGTGTTGAGTTGTGTGTCCATCAATAATATTTTATTACGGACTGGGGGGGGGGGGGGGGGGGTGGGTAGGTGAGGAAAAATTTGAAGCTACAGTCGTCCCTCTCTAATCCGGCACTATATAATCCAGCACCCTCGATAAACCGGCACAATTTTCAGTAGCCAAATGTCCTCTTCATGCACATTGCAGCAGTAGATCAGATTTGTTAATCCAGCACCCTCCCTAATCCAGCAGATTTTCGTGGCACAAATGGTGCCGGATTATAGAGGGACCACTGTACTACGAGTTGATTTGTAAAAATGTTACATGGCATATTATTTTACAAATCGAGTAAAATATCACTGTTGAGGACGATTGCATTCTTCCCATGAAGTGTTTTTGTTAGTTCGACAGACAAGTGAGTTGCCATTGTAATGTAGTTTGTAAGCATCAGCAGCGTTTAGCGGAATTGTTTTCTTCCACGGCCTTGTGAGATGTCAATCATGGATCGAAATTCGTGAATTTGTGGTCAATGAGGTAAAATATCCCTCAATGGATGCTTGAAGGACGTCCAAGAGCCAGCGAGAATATTCTACGGCAGGTGGAAACCCTAGGCTGGTCACCGATGCCAGCATTGAGTCTGTCACACCGTCAAAGTAGCAGGGCTGAAGAAGAGATTAGCCAAAAAGGTGAAGGTCAGAAACTGCAATTTTGACAAAAGGTGTCTTTCACTCACCTATCATGAAAGGTGATTCAAATCCAAGTCCGAAGCTGCTGATGCTTATGGCATACAGGTTAATAATTAGCTGTTCAGTAGAGCTGCGTATGAATCTCAGCTTGCTACCTCAGAAGTGCTGGTAGAGATTCACGATGGCAAAGTGCAAATTCAGGAAATGCGGCATGAATGTATGTTGGGTGTTGACGGCAGAGCACCAATTGAGGATGGTCTGCAGTCTTTTTCCAACACAGAAGTATTATGAATCAGGTGAAGAAGTCACTGCACTTGTCTTGGAGAGTATGGAAGCCCCAACATTGTCAGTATGTGCCGGTTAAATGCACTGTGGCCCAGATGCACAAAGGCACCCTGTCGTGGGACGGCCGGCGCGCATCATGGTTGGTATTTTGCTTAGTGTGGTTATTTCACGTAAGAGGATGCACTGCAAGTTGAAATAAATGGAGCAGCAAGATAAGGTCTGCGTTCTCATGCTCTACAATGCCGGCAGGCGGTCAAAGATACCCTACCGTTTGGAACCGCAATTGACGACGTACAGAAACCAATACGTAGGGCAACCTGCAGAACCAGTCTGCTTTCTCTGCATGTGACTTGCTTCAGATGTATCTTGATTTCCCATTGCAAGCTTATTGACACATTAAGGTCATAGTTGTTGATGTTAGACCCTATTTTACTGACTTGTAAAATTTTGTACACACTTTTTCTGGGTGAAAAAATGCATGCAAAGCAACCCCACACTGTGTCTCTCATGTTTGTGGTGTTCGATCAAGAAATCCATACGTGGATAGAGGACATACATAGTGACAGAATGAGACCATGCACACTTCAAAACTCGCCAGGGCAACGGAATGATAGCCTTTTTTACTTTCATGTAAAATTATTACAAATCACCTCGTACGGATTGGAAAAAACTTTCGATAATTGCGGACGACCCCTTACTCGCATAGATTTTTGCCATACCTAAGCAGTCAAATATTCCTGCATATTTCACTCCTTAGCCTTAGGGCTATATTGACTGCTTGTATTTTGACTGCTTAGGCCACCCTTTGTTAATTCATTGTTTAACGTCCTTTTTTTCGCGAAAAGGTACGCGGGAGGGCGGAAAAAAACAAAAGCCCATTCCAAAAACTGGAAACCCCAATCAAACATTTTGACCAGTAAAGCATGTGATATATACAATATTTCTGGGTCTAACGGCACTTGCAGGCATAGAACAACACTCTTTGATGGTACATTGGAGCACATGCCTCATGAATCCAACAAAACAGGTACATAGCATGGAGTTAGCATGTCATGAATTCATTACATCTGGATTTTTACTAGGACACACACCGTACGATATTTAAAAGCCAACAAAAAAAAAGAAAAAGAACACAAGACAAAGGCATGCCCGGGAGGCAAGATTATAAGTTTAAGGTCATGATCGGCACACTGTGAAACTACACAATCATGTATTTACAACTTCGCATATTATTGGTACTACTACTTTCTTGTTTTTTTTTCCGGTCGGAGGCAAAAAGGTACGCGGGCGCGGACGTTAAACAACGAAAAAAGAAAGGGTGGCCTTAGGGGTTGCGCAGTTGAACGGTGCCTAGTGCAGCATTTTCACTGCATGAGTAGGTGGTGGTGCAACGGTTGTGCAACGGTTGTGCAATCATAAAACCGGGATTCATGAGGTTATCGTTCTGGAATTTGAAATACGGACTGTTTGTCGTGATAAATCTAATATTGACTTCGTACTTGGTCATAAAAACCTCGTAAAAGACCTCGGCTTCGCCTCGGTCTTTTACTCGGCTTTTACCTCGTAGATCGACTCTCACCTCAGTCAATATTACTATTAGATACATGTACGTATTGTTCAGAGCTCGGCGCAATCTGCAGATCGGGCGAGCGCGCGCGCACACACACCACACACACACATACATGTAGATAGCCCTTTCCCAAAGGTGCTCTTCTAGTGCTTTTCGCGTCCCTCAAAATATGCTGAAAAAGTGCTCTTTTTTCAGTGAAAACAGGCAAAATGTGCTCTTTTTTCAGTGAAGCATAGCCTGTAGCCATGATACATGTCCAGATATGAACCCATCCTGAGAAATGAATACGCACTCTTCCATTTATGGGTCCACGAAAGGCAAAACAGGAAGTAAAGTTCAAAAAACCCACTTTTTTAAAATTTACAGCATTGGGTACAAAGTACAAGCTTCACCAACTAACTTGTTGCCCCCCAAAAAAGCGGCGTGCCAAGGCCCAAGGCCCATCGATGCATCGGGCACTCGGAAACTGTGATCGCATCAGGGAGTCGTAGATCTACTCAAACTAGGGAGGTGACACGGCACAGAAATCCGTGTCACAGGGGTTGACTCGCACCCGGTACCCGTGACCCCTCGTTGTTATTTTTGGAATAGTTCAGTCCAGTCCAGTCCGAAAGGTCATACTCGGATCGACTCGCCTTCTGTACTTCACCTCCAAGCGTGCAACGCAAGACCCGCAAAGTATGATTTTTCTGTGGGGAACGATTTTGCCATTGATCAAGTTTTTATTGGAGTGCTCAGGCATACTACGATTGCTGAGACGTCCCGAGCACGCTTGTTCAGGTTCTCTATTTTTGACGAGCCGGTCCTACAGCCCCCTACATTGTATCTAACGACATAGGAGCTGACAATGTAAGAGGATTTCCCTGGAAATAATGACGATGGTGGTGTGACTGCTGCAGGAAAAATGCTGGCTGTTTATGACAGTATGACTAGATGTACAATGTAGCTCTCTTGTATGGTACTTAACCCCTGCTATAAATGTGTTATTTAGGAAGACTGGTGTATTGTGCAAGTCATAAAGAAGAAATGGGGCAGATACACGACTTACAATTTTCAAAAACCAGCTTCGTGTTATGTGTAATTTGTGTCAAAATTGTAGTATTTAGACATGACAATATCATTGGCTGTACTTCTCTAATATGGTACATAACCCCTGCTATAAATGTGTTATTTAGGCAGACTGGACCATTGTGCAAGTCATAAAGAAGAAATGGGGCAGATACACGACTTACAATTTTCAAAACCTGGCTTCGTGTTATGTGTAATTTGTGTCAAAATTGTAGTATTTCAACATGACAATATCACTGGCTGTATTTCTCTTATATGGTACTTAACCCCTGCTATAAATGTGTTGTTTAGGAAGACTGGTGTATTGTGCAAGTCATAAAGAAGAAATGGGGCAGATACACGACTTACAATTTTCAAAAGCCAGCTTCGTGTTATGTGCAATTCGGGTCAATTTTTAGTATTCGGATTAACCTAGGATACGACTCTGAAAAGTTCTGAACAGTTACCGCAACACTACACGCCGTTTCACAACTGCTGCTGTTGCCATCACTGCTATCAAGTAGTTCGGACATGGCAGGAGCCAAAAAAAATGCTGGTAGTCTTTCAAAGAATACTGGCGAGTGATGGGCTGTAAACGAAATGTGCTGCCTCAATAATTTCAAAAACTAGACACCCATGCGGCACGCTTGGAGGTGAAGTACAGAAGGCGAGTCGATCCGAGTATGACCTTTCGGACTGGACTGGACTGAACTATTCCAAAAATAACAACGAGGGGTCACGGGTGCGAGTCAACCCCTGTGACACGGATTTCTGTGCCGTGTCACCTCCCTAGTTTGAGTACGACTCCCTGGATCGCATGCATGAGCAAACAGATTTTAGCACTTTTTCAGCTAAAAAAGCTTTTAAAAAAGGGGCGATATGTTAAGTCCCGTTTTGCTCAGTCGGCAGAGCAGGAGGGTACAGTAATGGATAATGGTTATCATACAGAATTGCACACTTATTCAGAGAGAGAGAGAGAGAGAGAGAGAGAGAGAGAGTTCTCAGGTAATAATCAGAATCTAGCAGGCAACTAATATACATGTACAGGGAACTGATCTGCGGAGAACTGGTCTTAAGGTGGCAGTCTGGGTTCGCGGCCCGACCGCATGAACACAGCCGTAACTTCCATAATAATTGATGAATTTTGCTCAAATCTTGACCACATACCCAGTGTATTTCACTAAGTCCAATGAAGTATAAATCAAGCTCACACATGGGAATCCGCAGACACAATAGTCAAATCTGCGATTATGCCGTACCACCAATACCTTAGACGCAATATGCAAACGCAGAAAGAAGCTGGGTAGAAACTGAGTGCTCCACAGGATTTCCTTCACATATACCTAGGTGCTAAGTGGAGCGGAATTTTGAAATCATATTCAGAACAAAGTACTCAAGCTGTCAAACAAAAATCATGCAATCGCGCAAAATTTAGGTCCTCGATCAGTAGCACTTTACTCAAAGCTACTAGACAAATATAAAAATCCATGACACTTAGCACCTTGATAAATGCTCACAGTTTCCAAAAATGTATGGTTTATGGGGTCTGTGACTTACAGGTTCTTCGCTACGCTGTCTAAGAGGTACGGGACTCAGTGGAAAATGGAGAAAAAAGTGCTCTGTGCAAGTACAGATGGAGGTATGTCTGTCCAACTAGAACTTACTAGAACTTAGTCGAAGCCACCAGCTTCATATGTCAAACCTTCTTCCTCTTGCTGCTCATCCTGGATGCCCTTCCTGATCCTCCTTCGCTTCTTTCGTGACCTCTTCCCTTCTTCTGACTTCTTTCTGGCAGCATGTGCCTGTCTCTCACGGTCTAGCAGCTTGATGAGACGTGTCGTATGGTGTCCAGTAGGGAGGCCCATCTCGTCCAGAACGCGTTTCACTGCCACACCTCCATCATTGAACCAGGCCACGGCCAGGTAGACGCACATCTGGACAGTGGGAGCGGATGCAAAGCCTGTCTTTGGACACAACTGCCACACGAGTCCATTGAACGCTTCGTTGCGATTCTGCGTAGCACCCTTCTGGCAGCGCTCGAGCAAACTCCGGTCGGACAACCGAATGTAGACCGGCTTCAGTTCCTTCCATACTGCCTCTGGCAGGATATTGTGGTGGGCGTAGACATCACCACCTGCCTGTTGCTGCTGCCATCTACACCAGCTGTTAATTCCAGGCGGACAATACTGGTGCTGAGGTTTACTGTCGCTGGATGCACGATGCATGAGGGATGCCCATATGGCCCTGGCCATGGCTTGCAAGTCTCCGCTGTTGTTCCGCACAGCCATGCCATAGTAGGCTTGCAGCTTGTCGATCATGGCATCCGTGAGGCGACCACGTCCACCTATAGTGCGCCCATCAGCAAGCTTCTTGCCCGCAAGGTTTTTCTTCAGCTTTCTTAGGCTGGTACCGATGCGTTTTTGAACGTGGCCGACACATTCCTCCTTGACTACAGGCACCTCGGGCCCATACGGACAAGCGTCACGCACAGCCTTAAAACTCTTGGTATCTCCATCACCAATGTAGGTGGTGTACCTCAGCTTGCGGCTCTCAAAGGACCTGGCCCACAGAGTCTTGGCGGCTGCACTCTCCATGGCAGGAGCTGATACAGTGGTGTTGACTGAGCAATCGTGTTCGGCAATCTGTCGATCATAGTCATCTTTGGTTAGCTCTCCCTTCTCTTTTCTAGACGCCAAGTGCGTGCACTTGTGGCAAAACTTTGAAAGCACTTCGCAGTCCACCACTTTGCCGACATCATATGCAATTATAGTGAAGGCTCCGAAGAGCGATGCGAATCCTCGGCGCATCCAGGTACCGTCATAGGAAGCAGCGATATCGCTACCCCCATCTGCTGCGGACACTGCTTTCTCAGCTGCCTCAGTCATGCTACGCTCAGCGACGCTCTTGGACGCGGAATGCAGGCCTTTAGCATGGCTGTAAAATGTCGACCGACTCATAGGTGATGGCATATTCAGTGCACCCGCCAGCTTTACCATTGATTGACGTCCACGGCCAATCAGTCGCATTCCGAATACTGCTCGTCTGTTCACCTCCCAGACCCGATTGAACTTCTTGGACATAAATTCGCTTGCTATGTCGCCGCAGTTAACACAGGAAAGCTCCAGGCATGATGCAAGGCCTCCTCGTTGCGATTCGCTGATCGTGACTGCGCCATTACAGCCACTGCAACAAACTGCAGCTGACAAAAGCTGCTGAAGGCACTCGAGATCAATCAGGCGAAATCCATGCGCCCCTTCCTCACACTCTTCATCCAAGTCACTGTCGGAGGAACTGCTGTCGACTTCACCGCCACTTCCATCACTATCGCTGTTTGAAGACGTGGCTTCAGCTGGCACTTCAAGGTCGTCATCAGACAGTGGCAAGTCAGGAATTTGTTCTGCAGGCGAAATTTCACCAGAGGGAGCCTTCGGCGCCTGAGACACTCCATAGAACGTTCTTTTCCTTTTCTTAGATCGTCCGGGCTTTCCCTTGGCTCTAGACTTCCCCATAGTAGCCAACGAAGGGGTTAGCTCCAAGAAACAATTACTCCAAAACAATTACTCCAAAAGTAACTAGTTTCAACAGCAGAGCGATCAGCTGAGATCATGAGAGTCGAAATTTGAATTTTTTTGAATTTGCGCATGCGCAAAAGTTATCTTGGTTGCCATGGTGACAAACATCGTGCGCGGCTGTCAGTCTGCAGCGCAGAGGAGTACCAGGAGTCGCTCCAGAAAATTTTAATGAAATCGCTCAAAGATTGACGGTAAAAATCGGAATAGTGTGCAAACCTAAATTTTGTAGAAATTTGCTGATATTTCAGTATTTCAAAAACAATTGTGCAGACTTTGCGTGGCTATATCTCCGGAAGGAAGCACCCGATTACGCTCAAATTTTCAGGATAAACCCTTTGGACCATACACAAGACGCTGCCAGTGAAAAAATACAGAAAATCGAAACTTTGTTTTTTGACCCTCTGAACCCAGACTGCCACCTTAATCGGCAAGAAACTAATCCCTAGGAAACTAGAAAGGCAGCAGCGTTTATAGGGTGAGTAAGTAAGCTAGCCTATGGTCAGGGGATACGTAGAGCAGAGAGAAGTAAGAAGAAAGGTCAAACTACAAGGTACATGATTGTGTGGGCAGAAGAATGGGAAAGGTCGGGACATGGCACCTGTGCAAGAGGAATACGTTTAGAGGAAGAATTGAATAGAAGGGTGTACAATACATCGTATACATGTAGGTGTACAATACAAGGAGGACAACTGTTGAAAGGGGCATTAGGATGTATGTACAGCTGTTAGTGTAGATAACTAAAAGGGCGGCTGAAAGTGAAATGCATCAAAAGGTCTCCAGTGTGCTATCTAAGGTCAACCTCGAAAGTGTGTGGGAACAATACATGAATACAGCGCATAGTATAGTATTAGTAGTGCATGTAAAAGAGGATAGGTGAGGCTGGTGTAACAAGTCAAGTACATGTGCATGTCATATAAATTATAATGTATGTATTCCTATCTAACATAGCCCTCCCCTTTGCGGGCGCAGGTCCACATGCGAATTCAAATGTAAACGGGGACACGTACATGCATAGCAGTAAAGAGAGAAAAATTTGAAGGCAGTAGTAATGCATGAACTTGATGAAGGAAGAAACATTACGGGCACTAGACTATCGGTTAGCATTTCCTCATCTGAATCATTAATGTGCAATTCGATTAGGTCTTGTTGAGTCGCAGAGACATCAGGTGACGATCCACTCGTAGGGTCGGTAGAGTGCTCCTCGGGAGGTGGTGATACCGGCGTAGGGGCGGCAGACGGATCCTCCGGCGGCGGTGATTTCCGCTTTGCTGGCGGGGATGGCGAACGTTCCTCAGCAAATTCCGGGGATGGTGATGATCGGTGAGCCGGGACTGTGCGAGCGGCGCGGCGGGCTCGTAACCCTGCCACTGTCAGTGGTGGTGTCGCCGGGGTCGGGAGAAGGGGTGGCCTACTAGTAGGCGGAGAGTGATAGCACCGCGTCGTGCTGAACCGCGGCTTTTGCGTAGGCGTGGCCATTGCTGTCACTAACCTGGTGCAGCATAGACACGAAAATAGGCAGGAGGCCGAATGTGAGAACGGGTGCGTGTTGAGGGTTGCGGAACTGGTTGTGGTGGGGTGGAAATAATATTAGAGATGGTGGTGTGTACTGCACAGGTGTGAGGTATGGACGAAGTCTGTTGCGGTGGACGGTTGTGACGCGTTGCATGTGAGGGGTCGTGTGGAAATGGGCTTGCAATGTGTATGTAACGTCAGAAGGACAATTGATGATTTTCCAGGGGCCGGTCCAGTGTTTGAAGAGTTTCGGTGAGACATGAGGTGGCGGGTGAGCATGTAGCCAGACAAAATCTTGATTTTTTAACTGGGAAGCCGTAGCGGTCCTTGGAGTACTTGTGGTGTAGATCGGTGTGTTGACGAACGGTGTCAAAGGAAGTCTGAAGGCGAGCTTGGAGATCAGTGACGAAGGTTGTGATTGGCTGTGGTGCATGTGGTTGTGGAAGTGGGTACATGAGATGGAGTGGTAACGTAGCTTCACGGCCAAACATGAGGAAGTAGGGCGTGAAACCAGTCGTTGAGTGGACACTGGTGTTGTAGGCGAGCATCGTGGTACGGAGATGTTTATCCCAGTCGGATTGCGTGTCGTTCGTGTAAGCTTTGAGAATTTTCTGGACCGTACGGCTTGATCGTTCGACGAGACCGTCACATTGAGGATGATACGGAGTGGTGCGTGTTTTGTGGATGTGGAGCGTCTTGCATAGATCCTGGAAGAGGTCGGATTCGATGGGCAGGTCTGAGGTATGTGCGTGTGTGCGTGTGTGTGTGCGTGCATGTTTGTACATGTATATGTGTGTGTGCATGCGTGTGTGTCTGTGTTTGTACTAATGCTCTGCTCGCCAGGATAATGTTCATGTCCGCAGCCAGTGTTTTCTGGCAACAAAGGCCGCTTCCTTTATGTACAAATGCATGCTCATACTATTTGGGATGCTTTACTGTTTTCGTGCCACGGAAAACAGTAAAGCATCCCAAATAGTATGAGAATACACTTGTATAATATAAAGGAAGCAATTTCATGTCTTTCTGCTGGTCAATTTGTCATCTCGATGGTGTTATAATTACGAGTATACATGTACTCACAAGTTGAGGGAATGGACAGGGGAAAAGTCTAAAGAAAAAAATTGACTGTCACCACCAAAAATTATACATGTACACACGTCCAAGAGCACCACACATCATTCGTTGGAACTCTTACTGGTATTAGTTTCATGCCCATAGGTATAAAATATACAGTCATGTACATGTAGAATATTACCCTGAGAAAGTATGCTCATTGCGAAGTTGTCCTTCTTTTGACTCAAACCATTGCTCGTGTAGATGTATATATCAGTGGGTTCAATTGGTTACACCTGTGTACTATTTTTAATATTATCAGTTCCTATCATACCCTGGTTTCTCATCATTGTGTTGCTTTTGCCCGTACAAGAGGCTTTATGATGTCAAAAAAAAAAAAAAAAAAGTGGGTTCAATTGGTGGCGAGAGCTAGAGGTCAGCGTAAATTGTTTGGGGTGGAATTCGGCACGAAATCTACGCTGAGTACTTTCTGACGACGAATTGTGTAACACAATTCAACACTGTTGTGTTGGTCTTGAGAACTCTGGCAAGAAACCGAAGGAAAAGATTATCGCTTGGAGCTTTTCTCGAAACTGAGGGCAGTCAATGCCCACATACACCGAAACATTGCCTCGGATCAAGACTATCGCCAGGGAAGCTCTTGTGGGCGAGAAATAAAGCAGTTTTTGGCGAAACCGTATTGAGCTATTAAAGTTTCAAATTTCCCAGGCGTGTACTACTGGTCACATAATTATGTTCTCTACGTACATGTACCTGGTTCAGTGATGTGTGTGTGGGGGGAGGGGGGGGGGGGGGCATTCTGCTGCATAGTAAAGTTCCCGGGGGTACAAACACTGCATAGTAAAGTTCCCCGGGGGTCCAATCACTATACTCCGGTGCATAGTACTTCCCCCCCGGGGGCCAAGTACTAGGGGGGGGGGGGGGGAATAGTACTATGTGACACCGGCACACATCTTGCCCTGCTGCTCCACCTGTGACCTGATACGGTGGTGCCTGGGCCCCAGACGCCTCCCTGATGCGCCACAGGGTGCAGTCGAAGCACCTGTATCACTAGCACTTCGGTCACAAGTAATAGTTCGGTGATCCAAATGCGAATGCAGCCTTGCCGATCGCCTACGCGACCAGCCTGAGACTGGTCCTGCCGCATCTGGCGCTTCTAAACGCTGCGATCCGGTAGACAGCTCACTGGGCTGCCAAATACGTGGCTGGCTTGAGGACAGTTCCCTACTAATACTGCACGGCAGGGCGCCCATGCATGGCCATGGCCCAGCCCAGGTTGCACGCGGTAGTGGCGTGAGCTGGGCGCGGTGAGGGTTGGTAATAACTACAGTTCCCCCTTCCTCCTCCAGAAGCTTCCATTTTAATAACGCAATAAGGAGGACGAGCTGGTTTGAGGGAAAAACACGGACGGGAAAAGTTTGAAGAAAAAACTGACTGTCACCATCAGGACTCGAACCAGGGACCCTCGCATGTAGCCAGAGGCAGAGATGCTCTAACCACTGAGCTATGGTGTGGTCGTCATTTCAGCAGAGACCGTTCAACATTCTCTTCAGACCTCGTAATAATAATAATAATAATAATTACATGTAAGAAGAAAAAGGCAATGGAAAAAAACGTCATTGTATCGTGTTACCCTACCTTGATTGCTATAATTATTTCCTTTGTTCTCATTTTGTTCTTTAGTACAACGGTGATTCCTGAAGAGTGTTGTACGAAAACTTGTTCGAATAATAATAATAATATTAATAATATGGAAGAGGAAAAGACATATGGATACGAGTTAAGAGTAACTCTCCATCACTGTAACATGATACTATATACAGTCAGAAATTGCAATAACTAGGCACAAAACTGACAGAGTACTGAAACATTCGACGTCCCGACACCTAGCTTCAACACATCTCCGTAGCGCTAACCGACAGCCTTCCAACTTGGAAGGTTCAAGGTTATGGAAAGACCAAAGAGGGGAAGGCAAGCGCAACGAAAACGAGCAAAAGCTACAGTCCCAACGGAACAAAGAATGTCGATTGTTACTGGACGATGACGAGACCAGTACGATATTCTTCCAAGTTGGAAGGCTGTCGGTTAGCGCTACGGAGATGTGTTGAAGCTAGGTGTCGGGACGTCGAATGTTTCAGTACTCTGTCAGTTTTGTGCCTAGTTATTGCACTTTCTGACTGTATATAGTATCATGTTACAGTGATGGAGAGTTACTCTTAACTCGTATCCATATGTCTTTTTCTCTTCCACATTTATTTATGGCTCAACATCCGAGTTTCAAATACTACTAATAATAATAATAATGGTATATTGATTGTGGAAGCTCATCGCCACTGAAACGTGATCTGCACGTAAAGTACAAGGCGATGAACATCAGAATGAACATCAGTGAGCCATACGATAGCAGAGTACGCACACGGGAGTGACCTCGACTAGCAACAGTACACTGGCAGCGGCAGCCACGGGAGATAGGCAAACACCCGCGACGTCATCGATACGGCCAGCGGCAGTGGCATACACGTCTACAGAGATGCACACCACCCCCCCCCCCCCCCCCCACACACACACACGCCTGACTACGAGCAGGGGAGGAGCCGATTGAGTATCAGACCAAAACTAAAGGGAACACAGTCATTCTGAACAGCGTATCTATGAGATACAAAGCTTCAAAGTCAGCAAGCAGTTAGCTCAATACAATGTAGTTCGTATCGCACTGTAAACTATTTTCAAAACGAATTATCTTTTTGCCAGTAGCAGCGGGGAAGGCACATTTGCGCACGATCTCTGTTAGGCAAATTTCTCATCTCAGGGAACTCTGCGTTGAGACAGCGCCACGCAATCTCTGCTAGAGATGGAACATTGACGTAAACCCGGATGCACTTGTTCACTCTGTAACAACAGAATGGAGAAGAACATCAACAAAAAGAAGAGACAGATTTAGATTGAGAAGGAGATAGAGAGATAGATAGAGAGAGAGAGACAGAGACAGGGAGAGAGAGAGAGAGAGAGAGAGAGAGAGAGAGAGAGACAGAGAGAGAGGCAGAGAGAGAGAGACAGAGACAGAGAGAGAGAGAGAGAGAGAGAGAGAGAAAAAAAGAGACCACAGACAGGGAGAACAAGTAAAAAATGTCATGTACTGTACCCTTCTTCAGTTTCACAGTACATGTACATGTATTATTATGTAGCAGCAGACAACAGGGAAGAAGATCAGGAGTTGTTATAGCTATAATTTAGTATAAAGTACTGCAAGGATACTTCATGGTGAAAAAGGAGAAGGACAAAATGTTACGAGTTATGACTAACTGTCCACCAACGTAGAAATTACCGTAAAAATGCCGTTGACCCCCCCCCCCCCCCCCCCACACACACACACACACACACACACACACACTCAGACTCAGATCCAGACATGCCCATCGCGGAAGCGATGATAGTGAGCAGCTATGTTAGACATAGCAACTTGTGCTGGGATTACACCATTCAACAGCTTGCAAGGCTGATGAATTGACCGCCACTAATTCTAGCCTGGTATCCACCACACAGCTGATTGAAAACACACACACACACACACACACGCACACCATTGGACCATTGGACGCCCATCGCCGGAGGCGATGATAGCGATGCTACAGCAGAAGCCATAGCAGCTTGTGCTGGGATTGCACCATTCAACAGCTTGCAAGGCTGAAGAATTGACCGCCACTATTCAGCCTGGTCTACACCACACAGCTATGAAGTGGCTTTTTCTGGCCAGTGAGTCCCTACTTTTTGGTCACTAACTGGTTGTTCTCGGCAGGGGGAGGGATCGGGAATTCCGCAAGTACTCTATGGAGTATGTAGTGCAATTCAGGTTGTATAAGGAGGTGAAGGCAAGAATGTGACAGTGTGCTAGGCCTAAACTCGCTCGATTTTCATCAAAGCGATTTTTTTCGTTTCTCTTCGTTGCCATAAAAGTCCCCTCTCTGCCATCTTCCTTCTATGAGGCGAGACCGGAAAGCCCCTCGTCAGCAAGAATGGACAGTGTAGGGTCAACGGCATACACACCAGGGCGGGAACATGCTGTCACATTCTTGCCTTCACCTCCTTATACAACCTGAATTCCACTGCATATGTTGGCGAGCAGCGGTAGTGGACGCACCACGAGTGGAGTGAGCCCGAAAGTGCTCAATGCCACTGTCGGTGAGAAGCGTAGTCAGCCACCGGGCAATGGTGGAGGAGGAAACCGGTTGATGCGGGGAGCGAGTCGACAAGAACAAGCGAGACTGTTCCGGTGATGTACGATACTGCTGGGCAGCGGCAATGTATGCCAACCAATGCCTTGACAGGGCACACAAGACCATCCTCAGCGTGACTAGGGAGGAAGAAACGAGACGGAGCAGTACCGGCACGTTGAGCCTTGGATGGATTTGCGAGCGTAAATTCCTCTCCATCTGGGCACTGTTTCATGAACGCAGTATCCAGCCCTTCCATATCGGACACACGAGGCGCCTTAGCTAGCGCAATCAGCATGACTGTCTTCTGGCTCAGGGTAAAAGCTGGAGACAGTCAGAACGACGCTGACGGGCCAAGTCTGGGAATAGCGTGGCTTCGGTGGTCGAATGTTTGCTGCCCCTTGCATGACCTGGGGATCCAGGAGGAGATCTTCCATGACCGGAAGCTACGTTGGAGGCAGAACAATCATCTCCAGCAGGAGAGGGTAATATGGCCGAGATGGCCATGCCGGTGCTACGAGGACAGTGTTGCGGACTTGATGTTGGAGAACATACTGCAGGCATCGGCCCACTAAGGCAATTGGAGGGAACACAGGGGCGGATCCAGGGGGGGGGGGGGGGTTCGGGGGGTTCAAACGAACCCCCCTGATTTTTTCCGACCATAGTTCGGGTGTGACCACGAACCCATGTCCGTGTGACGTGCTCGCCCCATGCTATGGCCTGCAGGCCAGAGCAGCCCGCTAGCTATGCAGCTTGGTAGATCTATAATTATGACATTGAACATTGTTGTCTTGTACGTAGCTGTAGATAATACAAAGACTAAAGTAGATCTGCACTGAATGTAGATCTACAGCTACGCGTTAGCTTCGGAGAAAGAGGTGCATGCATTTGTTGAGCTGCTGCGGCAACTTCGAAAGTAAGTATTAGTTTCAAAAACTAGATCCTGAATAGTGGCCATGCAGTGCCGTAATTGTCGTCACGGCTCGTGCTTTTTGAGCTCTTAGAGTTCGTCGAAGCGTCTAAAAGAGGCAGGATGAAGACAGGCTGCCATTGAATTTTGGTGACACTCGAAAGAAAAGTGTAGCCACTAGTATCGAAGGTAAAACAAAGAGCGAAACTTTGAAAATCACCTTCAAGTTCAATGTCCTATCACCCAATAATCAAAATTTCTCCGAACTGGGGACAATTATGACTGAGACACGAAAGATGCAGGAAGCCTGCCTTATGGAACCTACTGTACAGTGGAGTCAACATCGGGCAGCTCGGAGTACAAAATTGTGGACAATTATTACAGACAAGCTGCTGGAGTCGGAAAGTACCAATCAGCTATTCTGCGGTAAAGAAATTGAAAATTTCTTCCTTGTGCTGCGTGTCTTCAATAATGTTTTAGCTGCAGAGTGTTGAAAACAGGGGTACTGAAGTTACATTTGTATAGCAGCTGGCATGTTCAAGTATTATTTGGTGCTGTACCGATAACGCGAACGTGTGAACGTGTTATACAAGTACAATCATGTACATGTGTATGTCATCATTTCGTCATTGAGGGTAGGGTGGGAAAAAATTGAACCCCCCTTGGAAAAATCCTGGATCCGCCCCTGGAACAGGTAACTGTTCTCCCACAGACAGGACGTAACGGACAATGCATCCACTGCTTCCGCCTCTGGGTCCGGATGCCAACTGACGTACAGAGGGAGCTGGCTGTTGTGCCGTGCAGCGAACAGGTCCCTCGTGAATGGTCCCAGCTGGTGATGCAAAGACTGGAAGACAGATCTCTTCAGCATCCAGTCGCTGCTGTCGTCCACGATCACCCTGGAGAGATAGTCTGCTGTGACACTCTCCACACCGGGGACATGCACGACCAGCAGGTGTATCCTGCGGTTGGCTTCCCATTGCCAGATCTCGAGGACCAGCTGGCACAACCGATACGAGTGGGTGCCGCCCTGGTGGTTGACGTATGCCACTGCTGTTGTATTGTCCATCTCCAGCTGGATCGTGCAGACGTGACTGGATGAAAAGAACATCTGCAGACCCAAGTGCGCCGCTTTCAGATCCTTCCACTTGATGTGGTAACCCATCTCCTAGGCCTGTCGTCCATCTGGTGGTCGCTGGTGGCACCCCAGCCTGTGTCACAAGCATCCATTGTCAGGGTTCTCGACGTTGGAGGGGTTACTATCGCCTTGCAGCACTGGGCAGGGCACAGTTCGATCCACCATTGTAGATCTGCTCGGGCCTCGGGTGAAAGCATGCGTCGCTGTCCCTCTGGTGCTCCCATAAGGCTGTTCATCATCCATTGAAGGCCGCGGCTGTGAGCACTGGCCAGTGGAATAGCTTTGGTGCAGTCCTGGATCTTTCCCACAGGGCAGCGCAGTTCCGGGAGAGAGGCTGCCGCCTTGTTGACAATTCGCCGACACTCGTGCTGGAGGTGATTGAGCTTCCAGTTGGGGTAAGTGAAGATCATGTGCACTGAGTTGACCTCGATTCCGAGGAATTCTATCTGTTGGCTGGGGCTCAGTTGTGATTTGGCGTCGTTGATCGCAAATCTCAGATGTTCCAGGAGAAACACAGCTGTCTGGCGGACTGCTGCTGCTGTGGGTACCAGAATGAGCCAACCGTCCAGGTACACGACCAGGCGCACGCCCAGAGACCTGAGCAATGTTGCCACGGGTTGGAGGATGTTGGTGAAGATTCTCGGTGAGTCTGAGAGACCGAACGGGAGGCAGGTGTACAGCCACAGGCTGCCCTTCCACTCGAAGCGAAGCCAACGGCAACTTGACGGGTGTACTGGAATTGAATGCAATGCATCCTTCAGATCCAGCTTTGCCATGAAACCGGCGGGTGGTAGAAGTTCTCGCACATTGTGGGGTGACTCCATCTTGAAATGAGCTGTGGTGACGAATTCGTTCAGGTGCTTCAAATAGAACACTGGACGCCATCGGCCAGCCGATTTCGGCGTCACAAAATAAATGGGTGCTGATGAACTGCTGTCCCGTGTCCAGAGGCGTCATCTCGATGGACCCTGAAGCTGCCATTTTCTCCAACTGCCCGCTCAGGCCCTACTGTTCCTGAGCTGAGAGATGCGGGGGAGCTGGGATGGCATACTGTGTCGGAGTGGAGTGGAGTGGCACTCGGTATCCCACAACGCTGTCGAGCACAAAGGGGTCGGTGGTGACCTGATGCCAGTTGTGCATGGCAGTTTGGATGCAACCGGATGAACGGCCATTGTTTACTATAGGCTGTAAATGCATGTGTGCGTGCTGAAATATAATAGGCATAGTTGGCTGGGCCGATATTGGCACAGAGGAGGCTGAGCTGGGACTGGCCACTGGCTCTATTGGCCGGAATGGCTCGATTTCCCGGCTGGTGGGGCTCGGTTGACTGAATGCCGATTGAACGGCCGGCATTGTTTGTACGGGCTATAGCGTGGGCGGCTGCAGCCCCGACCGGCAGTGTCGGAATGGGTTGAGCGGCCAAATCCGCGACTGAACCCATGGCGCTGCGGGATATGCTGCCGGCTGCCACTGTGCACGGCCCCGCGACCACGAAAAGGCTGCCTGCTCGTTGACTCAGAGGGCTGGTGCAATGCTTTGGACGCCTCTTGCAGTGCCGTACTCTCTTTGGCCCATTTCGACAGCTCATCAGTGAATGCCTCACCAAATAGGCGCTTGCCAGACTGAGGCAGATCATCTTTCACCAGCCTTGCCATCTCTCGATCGCCAGCCTCCAGCACAATGCTCCTGCGTGTCTGGGCAAGCATTGCATTGGCATGCCCCAAGAGCACTAAAGTACGTTGGAACACGTCCAACATCTCCTCCATGGGGACAAACTTGCCGTCCAGATGCTGCTCTATTGCACCTCTCCATGTGCAGGTCAGCGGTCCCACAGCCACGTGCAGTGCAGTTTGCACTTGTGATAATTTCTGGTCCAGTGATTTCGGGTGCTTGCGCGAAACCGACTCGTCCACCCTTGGTGTGGAGAGCACGTCAGTGTTTGGCCGAGGATGCACAGATTGCATTTCACGGCGTTCATCATCACGCAACAAACGGCGGAAGTGAGTCTCTAAGTAATCGTTCACTTCGGGGGGGGGGGGCATTGTACGCGTATCTTTGACCATGGACACCCCTGGAGTAGAATGGTTTGCCATACTCAAGTTTATTCGACACGGTCCGTTGGTCACCCGTGAGCAAACCACTGGATGGATCATCCGTGGGGCCCACACGTTCATCACGGCAGGTCTCTCGGAACTGCCACACGCGTCTAATATCGGAAGGCGGTGCCGCACGATCACGGTCATGCACTGGTCCACATGCTCGTGGTGGCATTGCTGAGCATGAATTATTTATCTCAGGTCGGGCGATGCCTACACTGGACTCAATGTGCTCTGCCGCCAATCCGGCAGGTGAATCATCCCGATGACTATCATCAGCCATAGCATCCATGGTTTCCAAAGGCACACTCGACTTCACTACTTCAGGTTGAAACAGAAAGGGTTTCCAAAATGGCTTTCTTCTCGAGCGAAATAAAAGGCCAAAGGAAGATGGCAGAGAGGGGACTTTTATGGCAACGAAAAGAAACGAAAAAAATCACTTTGAAACGCTAGGAATTAACATGAAAATCGAGCGAGTATAGGCCTAACGCCCTGTTACATTCCAAGCCGGAGCCTCCGAAATACAATCACAGATCCAGGCTGTCGTTGAGTGCATCACTATGTACATGAGAACAGTCAGACTTGCCGTGCTGCTGGATCGTGTACATTCTCATCGACAGGCATACCTGAGAACAGTCAGACTTGCCGTGCTGCTGGATCGTGTACATTCTCATCGACAGGCATACCTACGCTGGCACGTATTGTGCACAGCAGCAGCGCATGCGTCGGTCCAACACCGTGTTTTAACGCATACGCTGAAGGCGCTTCAAAGGTAGAAATTTGGCAGATCCACAGCACTTTACGGTACTGAGGAGAATACAATTGAGGACACATGTACTGATGAAAATACAAGAATGCATACCGGTACATGCTTCCGCTCTGAATGAATGCTGGCGAGAGCTGGGCCAAGTTCCGGTAACCTCAGCCTAAATCAAACTACACCATACATTAAAACATGTCTCTTTCTAGCAGTAAGTTTCTAGCAAGAAGGAGAATGACAAGCAAGAGCAATGTTATAGTGTTCCATACCGTTGAATTGTTCCTGAATCGGTCAAGATATTTCCTCCAAACACACACAAACAGCCGGACTGCAGGACACATACACACACACACACACACATGCACATATTCTCTGGCTACGCATGATGGCATCAGCGAGCCAAACTGCCGCCAAAGACTGATGTCATAAAAAAATCCCACTGCGGGCTGGGGGATCATCGAGTTGCACACTCTTGATGATGTACTCTTGCTGGCAGATACAGAGATAGTACACACAGTACATGACTGTATCGTAGTGTATGTGGATACAGAGATAGTGAATACAGTACATGACTGTGTCGTAGTGTATGTGGATACAGAGATAGTGAATACAGTACATGACTGTATCGTAGTATACTTAGTATGTGGTTTACAGCATTCACTACTAGTAGGGCATACGGGTACGTTGCGACGCTACCACCGTGTAGAAGCGGTAGACTGGACACGTCAATGTTCGAGGTGAGACAGCGAGGACTGGATCCACAGTCTTAGTTTGGCACGGGTATGGAGACCCCATTGGCACGGGTAAGGATAATGGAGACCCATTGCCGCATGGATGTATCCCTGCCAGTGTTTGCCCCCCCCCCCCCCCCCCACACTCATTAACACACTGACCTCTGTCAAGACAGCAGAGTGGAAGTAGGTGGGATTTGGAAGAGAAACTGGCAGTCGCCACCAGCGTGCTGCCATAGGCTGCCAGCAGGAATCATAGCTGCCGTCCTTTGCTAACTCAAACGGTGTGTCGGGTAGCTGCAGCCGCCATATGTCATCAAGCGGAACAACGGCGTAGTCCTCGGTGACATGCTCACCGCCACACATGATGACATCTTTGCGAAGAAATGAAAGCATTCAAAGGCATAGAGAGAACAGGCGTACACACACCGTACACGCAGGCACACAAGCACACGGACACACACACACACAACTGAACGTGACATGCCTGGCACAGTAGTCACTTTAGGACTGGGCAAGTGTTCAAGTCTACTGTATGTGTGGATCTTGTCGCATTGAGGAGTACACCGTCACATTTGACATGTGGTGAGGGTACACAACACCAAGCAGGTACTGTAATTTCCTCCCGTGCCATGCGTCCAGCCGAGTACTGAGTTGTTGTGTCAGTACCCACAGTCCGCAGCTATGCAACAGAATAGGCAGACTGAGGGCAGAAGGCATACAAAGTCTGGAGCTCAGTTTAAGACGCTTCCATGAAGTCGAGCCGAACGCTCTATTTGCAGCACCTATTCTTGCCTGGATAACCTCTGCGGACCCTAACAAAGAGCCAAGCAGCTCGACAGATCGCCAAGAGTATTTAACATTTTAAAATAGGTTGTCTTCTTTGAATTTTTCGCTTGATTTCTCCACCATCTCCTCAACTTCTCGCTAGGACGTTTAAGCAAAACAAAAAGATGACAAAACTAGCAACACCGCACTGTTTTGCCCATGGGATCAATGGCTCGTCTCAGAGTCGTCTGCACAAGGTATATTTACACACTGAAGTACGTTCACTGTTGGATGATCTGCACGAAGTATATTGCCATACCTTCACTATTGGATGCGACAGTATGCGATCGCCTTGCACGGGGATAGCCATGAGTTGGATCGGCGTGGCATGGATGGGAGCTCCACGAATGGTTGCTATAGCAGAATCGATAAATCCTCTGTTTCCAGATAACAATGCACCGTGCACATGCAAACAACAGTTTCACGTCAGCTTTGCATCTTGCCCCCCCCCCCCCCCCATACACACACATGCACGCCTTTCTCACTCATTTACCTCATTACAGAACTACTTGAACAAGTATTTCATTTTAGATGCAACGACCAACACTGTAGTGCACTTTTTAAAGTGTTGCCATGGGTACTGCAAGTCAACAGATATTCGGCGCATATTTATTTTCGGCCTGGTCATGTTTGGCCGAAAATTTGTTGCGGCAGAAATTTTGTTTTGCAAGGCTCTGTGTGACAGTGTATACAGGCGGCAACAGTACAGGCCGAAAAGGGTTTCCCAAAGCATCTCAACTGATGATGAACCGTAAAGTACCGCCAGAGCGCCCTGTCTCGCGAGAACACCCCACCTTGATTTTACAGCCAAGGGAAGAAAATCGTATGGCAGAGTGCTACTATGTTTGTACACGGTGTGAGGACCTTAGTGCAGTAGTACTGTGCTACAGTCACACTTGACATGTTTTTATGTGGAGCTCGCATCCGCTTAAAGGTAAACTGGGTACGGGTCGACTGTACAACGTACAAATGTTTGTACAAGGTCCGTGTCGTTTGACCTA